GAGAGCCACCTCGCCAAATGACTGCCATAATGACCCACGATTTGTGTCGGCGCCTGCGCCATTTCGAAATAAATATTGGGCAAATTAGCGCCCCCTGGCGCGCACCTGCCGGTGGTGGCCATGTGTTGACGTATGCTCTGTCCGGAGCCCATCAACTTTCTGCTCGATAGCACAATGAAATTTTGCTACGATCATACCTCTTACCATCTGTTAGATATTAATATAAAAATTGCTTAAGCTAACAAAACAACTTTATGTGTAAAAGAAGAAAAACTGATCCAGGGTAATTTACCCATTTAATGATGGCACATTAACTAATTCATAAAATAATAAGTATTGATAAGTAATCGGTACGGTAAAGAGTAATTTTGACAAAAAACAACGTATTTTGAATACTTTTGAACCTAGTGCTTAGTTTATTACAAAAATATTTTAACGATGGGTGTGAATGTCAAATACTCGACATATTTTGTATATTCAAAAGCAATATTACGTTTTTCCAATTCGTGTGGAGTTCGCCTAAAGGGAAAGCTTATATGTTTATGTAGATATATCCATATACAAAAAAAAAATATATTATAAATTATAAACTACTGAACAAATTTTCATACGGCATTCACCAATGAACGGAGTAATTAAGAGAAAGATTTTGGTATATAATGATATTACGTAACTTCGTTGAATTTATACCACTGATTGTTGAAGATATCGGGAGAAAATATGCCGACTAGAAGACTAATGGTGTTATTTACACAATAAAATATAATAGTGTGATAAATATGCCAACCAATTTATGGCAAAGGCGCCATGGGCCTAATTTTTAAATCTATCGCAATTCCTTTCCATTTGACATTTGATAGCGAATGCGTTCGTAATTTTTTTGAAAGACTTTAGACTTTAGACGCAAATATTACTTTGAAAGCTGTTAAGAAATATCAAACGAAAGAGTTGGATGTTAACTGCAATTTTAAGACGGGTCGGTTAATATTATTTTATGTTTCTTAATTATTCAAATCATCATTTGTTCCGCGAACGAATATGAGTGTATAGTTATAAGTTTGAAAGGAATTGCGATAGATTTGAAAATAGACAATTAGCCCACAGGTCCCGTGATCAAAGCTCATAGAATTAAAAATACCACGAAGTAAAACATAAGTATTAATACACTCCTGTATAAAAAAAAACTATCGATTTTTGTTTTAGATTGTACACCTGAAAGGGATTTTAATATATTATCTGTAATACAATAATAATGACCATTATTACCATTGAACAAACCAAATGGCTGGCAGATGTTATATTTTCACATTTTAAGTAATACAAACATTTAAAAAAATTCATTATTATCATAAAATTACTGCCAATAACAAAAGGTTCTAGGCTTTGAGGTACCTGAATTTTAATGGTTGGTATCTATGAGATAAGTAGACAAAAGAAATAAACAATAAAAAAGATAAGAAGATAATGTACGTGTTGTGTCGGTTAGGGATAAAGTAAAATATAGTTTTACCTAAAAAGGTATTTATGTATCACATCATGTCCTATATGAAACTTTAAAGTTGATGGCGCACATACCTAGATAACATAATAACTATAATTTAGATATTCAAATCTATAATAAGTAATATTCAGCTGGTACCATACTTATGAAAAAGGGTTGTTACGTGGTAATATTATCAAGACAAATGTTAATAAAATACAGTATTTAAATGTAAAGCAAGTCAAACAATGGGGGGGGTCGAAAAATACCTACATTTATCTAATATAAATAAATTCTAACTAAATCAATATTACTAACTGTCGCATAAGGGTTAATTTTATTATCCCTAAATGTAAGTGTAATCCCTAAATGTAGTGTAGAATGCGAAATCGGCTAGAACTGGACATATTAAATATGAAGACGATTCCGAGAAATTAAAAAAGAAATAAAAAAGGACACGCGACACTCTTTTCCTATACCGACTGAGCGACTGAGCGCAGTTAATATTATAAATAAATCTCTTTTGGTGCTCAAGTTATAAAGCTCAATCGTCCCCACTGAGTAAGTAGTAAGGTAGGTAAATTAGATTATTTATTATAAACTAATTTAAAGAAACAAGGAATACATATTATCGCATAAAAAATCGGAAATAACAAAAAGAATCACTAGACGTTCGGAAACGGAACCACCCTCTCCAAAATAACTGCCTAACCACCACTTCGAAGTATAAAAAAAAATCGGGCGGCGGCGCTCCACTGTCGAACCGACCCGAATGAACGAATTGAACGAGCGAGCAAGCAAACAAGAATCAACCAGTCTGCAGAGAGCGCTTGTGAGAGTGACATGTGCTACTTCGTTCGCTCCGAACAGCTGATTACACTCGCGGCGTTTATAAAACTTCATTATTTACTATAAAAATTATTTAAAATTCATATAAGTAAAGTAAATTAAAGTTCAATATTAAAATTGTGACTTTCTGTGCAGTGACAATAATAAAAGTCAAATAAGTGGTGATTCAAAACTTCTCCAATAATGGGTAAGCTGATTTACTTCATTGATAATAAATTTAGGTATATTTTTTTTTTATTATCTTCGTTGCAACCTAGATATAGAAAACTATTTGGAAACTTTATATTTTTTAGAGTTGATTGTTATTACAATTTTGTTTATACTCGTTTAGCCTGATTTTTATTAGAATAGTCCTAACCTAAATATAAGTTACTGCTAAACGCAAGCTAAATATCCCAACAATATTGCATTGAATAAGTGTAGTAGAAACTTTAGAAGTACATAACAGATATAATAAAATGATTTAATTTTTGTCACGAAATACTGATTTCTATAATAGTGCGGAAGTCATATGTCTTGCGATTTTATATTTAAGTAAATATGACATTGAAACTATTTTTCCGGTTACTTATCTAATATTTTGGCTGTATTAGAGAAATGTCAATTGACATCACCCACTTGATAAACTTTTTATATTTCATGTGGATTAGGGTAAATGCATCAAATATTTATAAGTACTTAAAATTTGACGTAATGTTTTCAGGTTTAAATTTAAGTGTGTTCAATGAAGAATAAGTAAATTTTATCAATAAAATATTTTAAAATCTATACTTAATTTGAAATATTTTGATGCTAAAAATATTTTTATATCTTTGTAATTCAAATATATACTACTTTATAGTTTTCAATGCTATCAAGTCTATAAATTACCTAAGTTTCACAGCATAGTCTTTTGTAAAAGTACGTAAATAATACTTATTTGTAGACACTTTTCATGAAATTAAAAAACTACATCCTACCTAATAAGATTCACATATATGATCGCAGCAGATTTTCTGTCTATGAATAAAATGTACCTATTTCAATTTTAAAAGCCACTTTTACATACATTTAAATTTTACTATAATAATAAACATCCTAATTAAGAATATCCTATATAGGTAAAGGACCCCCTTTTCCTAAAAACGGAACGTCCTTTCGATTATCCGTCAGTCAATTACAGCTAATACCTATGCACCAAAACTAGTGGACTGATAGAGTTAAAATTTGTAACATAAATATTACATAAGTATATGAAAAACTGTGATTCAAAAAGATCGAACTGTGACTTAAATAAATGAAATTTAACTATGTCACTTTTGGAGGGTAAATTAGAAAATATAAAGTTTTGTAAACTATGTTACGCTCGCTCATGTTAAATGTGGTAGACGAAAAGGCTTGTATCAAGAACGAAATATTATCTTTTCATATTTTAAGGATATAAAATTATGTATTTGAAAAGAAATATCCGAAAATTGACAATTTCATCCCCTTTCCCTATCTTTAAAACAACTAGAGTGGTCTAAATGTTCTTGAAAAAAAATACGGAAATATACTTTGAAAATTTGATAGTCGCAATCTATATATAATGATGATTTCTTATCAATCCAATTAAAACAAAAAGGATTGAGAAGTAATAATATTCAATAATCTGTTCGCAACATGGACTTACTAGAAAAATCTTTTAAGTTTTTAAACTTAAAATATATTTTTTTGACTTTATAATCTTTTAAGTTTTTAAACTTTAAATATTTTTTTATTAGTTTGGTGTTAATGACATCACTTTTACTTTATTTTTACTGAAAATTATCTATTTAATTATTATTGAATTCTGCATACTACACGTGATAAAATTAATCCGTGTAATTTTAGAAGCGGTTGATCTTAATAAAAAAATAGAGCATAAATAAAACTTCCGTTTCCCAAGTGATTAAACACGGTCATGAAATAAAGGTGAAAATTATATCTTGGTCTCCAAATCCGACCGATTATAATCAGTTTCGCATTGCATAAAAATGATGTCAAGAATTTTTAAGACAAAAAAGTTGATTATTTAGTTTATTCGCGAAAATATAATATTTGATTCTAAATTATATGTTTATATGCCATTAGTACGTAAACATGAAAAACCATATTGAATACACCAACATAAAGTTAAATTATTCATAGTCTTCCTTGAGCTTAATATTATAAAGTAAGTAGCAAGATTAACGCTATTATAATTCCAATATTTTTATTAGTACAAACACATTATGATCATGTTCAAACTTGTCGCAACATAGGTAGACACTATGCATGTAGATCTATGTACATACATACATAAAAGCACGTGTGAGGAGCTCCTCTGCATAATTTGCAAAATAAATAACAGCTCTCTTTCTTATAAACAGTTACCTTATAACCTTTTTCATAGTAGAAAATTTCACCCTCGATATTACTTATGTACTTTTATATACATTTCACCACCACCACCAGCCCTTTTACGTCCCCACTGCAGGGGCTCAGGCCTTCCTTATGGATGGTTAAGGAGATAGGTTTATATACATTTAATGTATGTTAATGTTTAAACTACTTATTATTAATAATTGTTTGATGATATCTGTTTTCTATCATCAATCTGTATTGTCGAATTCCGCAATCCATTCGCTTCTCGCTTGCAAAACGTATGGCGTACTTTCACGGCATCATAATAATGGAAAGAGACTACAAGAGATTAGAACATAATAGTGCGGAGGTGGGCGCGTGGGAACGCTCCCAGCATTCGTGTGCCTGGCCGGGCACATCACACATACACTAAATTTAACATTAATAATTGCTAAATTTGAATGGTAAGAATTATTTACTTCAAGTAGTAATTTTCTGCTGCAACTTCTAAAAGCAGATGAGTACCTTAAATCACTTCAGTGCTCAAATTTTTATTTTCATAAAGATATAGTCACTTATATGATAGTGTGTTATAAGATGGAAACAATTTATTAATATAATGGTTTATAATTTTCGATATTTAATCCTATAGTTTGAATATGAAACTTAAATATAATATAAATGAATTAAAACGTATGAACGTAGTATTGTTATATCTGTGGTATAGATGAAATTAGCAAGCAAAGGAAACCTATATTGATCTGAAATATCTCTTCAAATCCATTTTGGTATTTTTAATGACTTGTTTAATGAGCATATGGTACTGTTACCCTATTAGTTGACGTATCCGTTAATCATTAATTACTACTTAGGTTAGATTTATTATGTTTAAATCATTGTTTATATAAAATTATTTCTTAATTAACGTATTAAAATCGTTTGACGTATTGTTTTGTTGAATGAATGTATTTTAATCGTGTAATGGTTTCCTACGTGAAGTTGGCCGCAATGTGGTGACGCAGTGCTATTAAAGTTAAAAAGAAGAAGATTTAATCTAAGAAAAAATATCTGTTGCTATTTTCAAGCGATAATAGCATATTAATCGGGGTGATTATTTATTAAACAGTGATTAACTACTTACTAAAACTGTGTTTTGAAATTCATGAAATAATGCGGTTTGTTGAAATGTGTAGTCTGTCGCGTAGGCTCGCGCGCTTGACAAGCTATGGCAATAGTACCTAGTTAGTGGTTCCGGATACGTATCGGACGTGTCGGATGTCGGCGTGACTCACGAGGCGCCCACGCAAGCCGCGCACCGCGCCCACTGGCGCCCGGCCCGCGCAATACTGCCAATATCTATTGCATTTAACTTATAAATATTATGACATATGACCTATATTAATTTAGGAAAATATTTTTTATTTAATGTATAATATCCATGTAAATTCCTATATTATATATATCTGACCTGTTATAGGAAAGTCCTAGAAGTAATAAGTTTTTTTTTTTAACTATAATCTTGAAATAATCACTTGAAAGATGTCTGTAAATTAAGTCTCTTATACAGCAGAAGTTGTATTACTGACATATCTTATACAGCAGTAGCGTGGCAGCAGGGGCTGTTACCGAGACCGATTTAGCATCTGTCTGCTGCGCGTCTAGGCTATTTGTATTTGGGTTTTGGCATTGTACATTTCGCAGTCTCGTGGGAAACTGAGTTGAACGACTGCGGAGACAATGCGGTTGTCTACTATCGCGAACAGTCGTTCACCGACGCGGGCAGCCGCCCACCCGCGCGGCTACTGCCTGCCGTTCTCTGCTTGAAGCCATCTGTAAACCTCTTGCGCCACTTCGGCTAACTGTACGACAGTCTAAATCGCAGAACTTTAATTTGACAAACGAAGAATTCTTGTTGAAGTAGTCATTAATAAAATCAACATTTAAATCTGTCAATTTTCCATAGAACGACAGTGATTATCGGTCTATTAACGTCCCTAGTACTAGGGGCACAAGCCTTTCCTAGAGACAATATCATATAGGGAGATCTGAGCGTAAATAACGAGTTTGTTATAATCATTGGACAGAACGCACCACGCGGACCCTGTGCGTATTGGTTGTTAAACTTTACTCGCCTTACGAAGTATGAAGAAGGTTGAGATAATGTTTTTTGCTGACCCATCTGATGAACAAGCGAACTACAGCGCCGTCGCGTTGAGCCCCTTAAATTTTTTGAATTTTAGTTATACTATGTGGATGACCTTAACTACTAGACAAGTGCCCAAAACAAATGTGCCACAACTTTACCTACACCTCACGATAACAACTTGCATAATAACAGTTGTTGTCGCGAGGCAACGTGTCCGATGGGCGGCATGAGGGGGACTGGTCGATAGCCCGCTGGACACGAGCCAGCCGCCGCCGACGACGATAACGACGCGCCGCGACTTCGCGACACATAAATCCACCCTCACATCGCTAAATTGTCAGTTTACGCTACTCCAAAGAATATACTTTACTTAAAGCTGACGTGTGTTATTCCCTCTCTAAAGAAACTGTGTCTAATTTATAAACACGATTATACATTAAACAATCGTAAATATAATTCTTAACAACTAAAAAGGCGGTTAACAAATAGAGAATACTATTTTTGAAGTCGGCGGTCAAAGCATTGTCAGTAATACTCTCCCACCTTTTTTTCAAGTCTATTCAGTTTTTTTTATGTTTATTTTACAACTTTTCATTTTTCAAAAATTATGCTTTCTCAAAACAAATGCACGAGTCGCACTTATACCGTTATTCTTCAATACGTGGATTTCGACAAGAATCCCATCATCAGATGTTAATCCGATCACCGTGGGAGCATCTGGGAAAGTAGCTCTTTTAAACAAAAGAAGGTTTTCTACAATCATTTTGCCCAGGCATCTTTCAGTAAGCGCGGTACATGCATAAGATTCCAATTAATTTGAAACCTTCTTTTTAAGTCACTGTAAAATTCAAAATATCTAAACGATTCGTACAAGTATATTTGCTATTTTGTTACGAATACAGCGTCGAACACTGCTCTGTCGCAGCATTAGAAGCTCAATTGATAAAACCCTTGTTATTTTTGTAGTATGTTTTATTTATTTAATACAGTAAAGTAAAACCAACAATAACAAGACAGCGATGAAAAAATAACCCTATTCTTGGTTAAAGATTTTAAACTCGTGTACCGTTAAAAATATATTGAATAATTAAGCGCATGCAATATGCACGTTATAGACCATCTAGATAACACAGAAAGAGTGCAACCGCGATTGAACAGTCTGATTTTAACCGATAAATCTTTAAGTACATAGTGTTCTATTGCTATAATCGCCAACAAGATGAAAATAGGTACCTTAAAACAGAACACGATTAAGGATTGAACGATAGTTACCTATATAAATGGAAAAAAACTCATTACAGAACATCTCCATAATCATATGCGTTAGAAGTGAAACGCTACATTAATATGTTTAATAAACTCTCGCTTGAGAGCGATGACTTAAAATATTCAATTTTGGTGAAAACTTAGGTAGTGTAAAGTTTACGAATTTTATTTGTCTCTGACACATATGCAATAAATTGTTATAAAGAACGTAGTATGCTAAATCTAATATTTAATATAGTATTGTATGTAAATAATTTTTTTTACAGAAAATATAATAGCCAGAACTGCCATACTACATTCTTACATTAATGCAACATTGTATAATCATTTATACTTCCGCATAATATTATAATCATTTATAATTCAAAATCGTAGTGTTGAAAAAACATATAATGACATTGTTTGATATCAAAAATCTACTATTATGCTTGTAAAAAAATCTGCAATGTCCTCTCAATTCTTTAAACTGAAAAGCTGGATAAGATTCATACTAAACTTTAAATTGATTTCTTGATATTAGTAATTGTGAGTATCTTATTATATATGTTGCTGAAGACTTATTATAATCTGTACCTTATTTATTGTTTCAGATGAGTGGTAAGCGCACTCGTAGCTATAGATGCGCGGTTCACCAACGCGACCGCGAGGTCAGTTCAGAGAACGACTTCCACCTTCTACTCGAAGACCCCACTCTATTTGCCAGGTAACAATATTTTTAATAATAATAATAGTGTAAACAATAGAATAAAAAAATAATATATTGCACATAAAACAAAACTTAAAATGTAGATACTAGCAGAATAAATGGCGACCTTAGCGCTAAAAGCGATCTCTTCAGCTTATTAGGTAGATTTATCATACCAATCAATAATAATTACTATTATATGTATGTGCATATAGTCGCAACTTATACTTTCAATTCAAAGTTATCAAACAATACTCAAAAAAGCTATAAGTTCACGATATCGAAATTAGATTTCACTTTTCCGTTATGAAAATCAAATAGATTTTAATTCTATGAATAAATAAAACAATATTAGATTGTTTTACTTTTTTAAACGATATATTTATCGATATCGTTTCTATGATTCCTGAATTCTCGGATGCCATGGCGGCTTGATCTGTCTATCTGTCAAATATAATGATTCCCATTTGGACCCAAAATTTTTGTAAAATGTTATAATAAAATCATCAATTTTCAAATTATCAAAATTTAATTGTTTCATATAAAATTCTTGCGTATTCATATAATATCATTTCAATCGAAACTCACAAAATCGATTGACGGGTGCTAAAAATATTTATGTTCATTTGTCGTGTCACAATGACATGTGGTATGCGTCCGTACAATATGAATCGTTAATAAATTGCTTTTTTACGGTCCAAGAATAACGTGAAAGTAAGTCGATGATTGATTGCCAACAATTTTCTTACCTAGATGGTAACATTTCCGCAACAGCTAGATTGTTATTCAGTGAAAAATTGTGTCTACCCGTCATAGATTGCCTCTCAGTAATGAAATCGTAAATCTACTTTAAAATAAAAGAAATAGGTCTTTTTTGTAAAAGTATCTTTAATTTTTTCCTCTTTACAGGATGGTGCACTTAGTAGCAATGGAAATGCTCCCAGAGGAGCGAGACCGCAAGTATTACCAAGAGAGGTATACGTGCTGCCCTCCACCCTTCTTCATAATTTGCGTCACACTACTCGAGGTAAACTTTTTGCTCTGGTTCTATATAAATTTGTATACCTTCGATTATAATAATTTTAAACTGTTTATTATTACTATAACGACCAAATGATGCGTAGTGAATGCTATTGCTTAAAATGGTGCATCACTTTCTATTGCACGCATTTATAGACCGCTACTTGGGCGCCGCTCTAGTTACTTCGGTTAATTAAAATTTGTAATAGCGGATTTCACATCCGCGCAAACGGTTTACGTGAATCATAACATAACGACTGGTCGGAACGCGTGCGTGCGGCGTATGCCACTATCGTCACTCATATCTGTACGCTTTGTAAGAACCAACGCCGTATCGTAGCGTATAGCTCCATTCTGTCTCCTAATAGTCAAGGCTTCTTTTTCGTATTTACGAACCAAACATACAGAGTAATAAGTACATCGGAATTTCAAAGAAGGAAAAGTCTTCCAATAGTTCATAGAAGTTTCAAATACTCGTACACAAAAATGTTATTCCGAAGAAATAAAATTAATAACTAAAACATCTTGTTGTAAAATAAACGTTTAATTGACGCATAATAGCAGCGACGACAGTTTCACGGTGAATTTGCAATTATGTCCTACTAGCTCGGTGCTGGGCTGGAACGTTAGAAAACTTATGCTTCAATACAAATCCACCGTCTTGACTTTTGTAAGCGTAACATAAACAGTCTTCAGACTGCATTGGTGTACACTGTACAGTAAACGCATGAACGCATCTAGTTAGTTCTAAAACTGACAAATATCAATATCAAAAATTTATTTCAAGACTTAGTATGTTGAATATCGATGTAACCTGAACCAAGAGTCTACCACGTAACTTGCTTGGTATAAAGTTTAGATGGATTTTAACGTTTAAAACTTTTTTATTATTTGCTCTTAACGTCAATGCATAAAATCATACGCAACTCCATCTAAATGAACGCTAAGACCTTGTTGTATGATTACGAGAGAGACATTTATAACTACTATACTATCTCTGCAGTAGTTTTGAATGATGTGAAAATAATTTATATGATTTGTTATAGTTGGGCGTGTTCGCGTGGTACGCGTGGGGTTCAGGCGGAGTCGCGGCAGCAGCTGGCCCTGTGCCTGTGGACTCGCCATTAGTATACAGACCCGATCGACGTCGCGAACTATGGCGCTTCCTCACATACAGCGTGGTGCACGCCGGCTGGTTACACTTAGCCTTCAACCTGCTCGTTCAACTAGCCGTAAGTACCGTCTGCTTCTTAACCTATTCTTGATCGTTATTCTTTTTGTCACAGTAAATCTTGGAGCCTCTTTGATCCTTACCAGTTTACAATCATATTAAACTTACTTGTTAAATAATAATAAAAAGCAATATCAATAAATCGTCTTTGGCCATAAACACCATAATGTAGAACAAATACTTTTCCATTTGGTCATTTTATTAAAATCTTGGCTTTACAATAGATTTCAAATCAAAATTTCTACAAGCACAATTAATACTAAAGTGAATGTATGTTTTTCACTAACAGGTTGGACTACCTCTAGAGATGGTACACGGCGCGATGCGTTGTGCCGCGGTATACTTAGCGGGAGTGCTAGGCGGTTCACTAGCGGCGTCCGTCCTTGATCCTGACGTTTGTCTGGCGGGTGCCTCTGGTGGTGTTTACGCGTTACTCGCGGCACATCTCGCTAACGCACTACTTAATTTTCATGCGATGCGTTATGGTGCCGTGCGGCTCGTCGCTGCGCTAGCAGTGGCATCGTGTGACGTAGGATTCGCAGTACACGCTAGGTATACTAAGGTAAGCTGAGTTTTGAATAACAACTACATTAATTCAGTTAATTTTTAAGTGATCCCTTGATCTGTGAAAATCATACTTTTATATTTGACTAGTTGTTTTCCCGAAACTTTGCCTGGATAAATTATAGCCTATGTCACCCGTATGGTGAAACAATTTTCATGATGGGATAAGTATTTGCGAAGATAACTTCAAACAAACAAATTTAGAAACTGTACCCTTTTTTAATATTAGCATAAATTTAAACTAAGCTCTTAAACTGCAAGACAGTGTTATTAATAAACAAGGTTTAGCATTGGAGTAAAATTACGCTGAGACTGCACTTAGTATTAGTCAAAATTCTATTATTATTAAACAGAGAATTAGCAAAGGTTAACCTAGTACGAGGTTCTACGAGAGTTATGTTTACTCCTAGAAAATAGTTAGCTTTGCTTATTCTCTTACATGAATTAGGACAAATACTAAAATTGCAATTTTGGCTTAAATTTACTCTGACGCTAAACGTTGTTTATTAATATGAAACTGATGTGCTTCGGTCATCGTCAATCAATATCAATTTTTACCTTAGCAAAAACACAATCTTACTTTTTGGTGATAAAGAGTGACGTGAGATTAATCCCAGTCACCGCACATTTCGTCGCTCTTTAATTTCCACCACTCTCGCCCACAGCAAATTTTCAATCAAATAAATTATATAATTTAATTGCAGGAAGCGCCACCTGTGTCGTACGCGGCGCACGTAGCCGGCGCACTAGCGGGTCTAACTATAGGGCTGTTAGTACTGAAACATGCGCAACAGCGTCTGTGGGAGCGGCTACTGTGGTGGGCAGCCCTAGGCGCGTACGCGGCGTGCACGCTATTCGCGGTACTGTACAACGTGTTCAGCGGGCCTGTAGACGAGTTACATTACATGCCGCCCGATCCGCCCCCTGATGTCTCCGGGTTTTGATTCGATCGTACCAACACCGTATAGGCTTTGACTTAGTATTATTACCGCAAAAGATGAAAAATCGCATATACTTTTAATTATAAAATTGTTAAATCTTTCGTTTGTATATAAAATTGTTAATATCTTTTCACTTAAATACTGTAATTCTTAATGTTCTTACTTCATCTTCGGTTTTTCTATATGCGGAATCAGCCCAGTGTCAAAGCCTAAAGTCACGGAATAGGTGCGACGCACTCACAACACGCCTAGTCAATTTACCTTAGTGTGATTTGCTATAAGTAGCATTATTGTTTGAGGAGGCTCGGTCTACTTAAGTACACTCCGTGTATTTTATCTATTTCATTGAAGATTTATGAATCTTATTTTTTTTTAACCTCTAAGTGTTGATTGTGCGAGGTTGTTAATTCTCAGTGTCAGTGTAGTTTACAATGGAGCCTCCTCTTAATCGTTAAGTAGTATTATTGTATCAAATAGGTGAAATATTTTTGTACCTATCAGCGTCCATAGTTACTTTTATGTCGATGGCGTTACCATTATTTCGACACGACACATTGTTTCCGTGTGGGCCAAAGTCTAGACTAAATGTCATGCCAATCATAAACATATAAAATTAATATATTCAAACGATTGTTGCTTAATATGTGCAGTTTTATGTGTATGACATTTAGTTTAGAAAATCACAATAGTGATGCCCAGTACACCAAAGATTAGGATAAAAATGTCATCCATTACTGCTCATATAAATGATGGCCTCATTCCACTGCTCTGAATTATATTTAATTTAAATACTTTGTGGTTGCTCAGAAAAAAAATACTGAAAGTATACCCTCAGTATTCATTTCCACATGATTTATATGTAAGTAATATTGTGTAAATTGCTCAATTGCCATTATTTTATTGAAATGATTGTGCTCAAGAAGAGTGTTTTATTAATTAAATCATTCAAATTATTTTCACTTTTAGTTTTTGGTTCTGATTCGTCCATTCCCATAACAAAACTATTATTTACTTCAGCTTTTAGCAAAATAACTCACTAGTAAATATTTATTATAATAATAATGTGCCTGATTCCTATTATAGTAAATTTCATTGTACTTTTAATTTTAATCAAATAATGTCACAAAACGACTGATTTTTTTGTATAAATTATTGCAGAGTGTTTTCAATTAATTTATTATAAAATTATTTTAAGTGTGAATCGAAATAATAATTATGTGATTATATGAATGAAAAAAATGAGAATGATAATTATTAAAAATGATTCGAAACTATATTGTCTTTTATTGCTTTAAGCCCATGATATTAGCGTTAAATGAATCAATTTTTTTATGTAGGATTTATTTTTGATAATTTCAATAACACACTGTACCTCCTCCTCGAAAACCTCCGCAACAGAGTGGGTGGCACGCCGGTTTCAAGGTTTACCATCCCATCTCCGAGGTCCCGGATTCGATCTCGGTCCGATTGATGTAGAAAATTATTATTGGTTCAGTAGCAAAATCATAATAAGACTAATAACTTATTATATCACTGATGATAGAACCCTCTTAAACTCTTGTCTTTCACATGTACATACTTATCATAATGATAAAAATATATAAAAACAATATTTTATTTGTGCGCACTAAAACAAAAATAAATATACTCTTTAAACATTTCAAATACTTCTAATCAATATTTTCTCTAACATTAATTGACTAGAGAAAGTTGTATAGCTAATGATATCGGAGACGAGATAATACTCATATTTTTTACGCACTTCAAGCTTTTCAAGTTAGAGAAATTTTTTATGACTACCTTCAGACTTCATCATCGTATCAGTACAGCTTACTGACACCATAACATTGCATTGTCACCCGACTTGCATGTCTTTGCAAAATTTTAAATCATCGGGCCATTAGGAATGGGTCAAATCTGAACTCCAAAATTTGCACACTAACAAACATACTGACATACAAATAAGGCAAGATAAATAAAAGCTTGTAAAAATACAAAATCTTAATTAAACATATTTTCTGTTTTATTTCAATGCTTATCCATATAATTCAAATTGATCAAAGGTATATACGAAAACTACTTATCAGGTACGTAGGCTTATATATTTATGTAAAAAATAAACCATCGGTTCTACTTCAATTAATAAAATTAAATAAATTGTTATTTTATAAAACTGCAGCATTTTCAATACTCAAAATTATAATTAAAATAACAGTTTTGATAATACTATTTTAGAAGTAAGTGCGAAATAGACCGACTGTTGCTTTCACCCAAAGGGGAGGTTTTCTTCTCTGTAATTCATTTCCACATTCTGAAGCATATTCATGTAGATTAGCACATTCTTCATGAAGGCGTTTCTGTAACAAAAGAACATTTACCTAAAATTTTTAACTACTTTGTGGTATCATATAAGAGATTCAAAAGTTATTCTTTTTGGGCAGATTAGGTCTTACCAGTGGCGGACTAAGGGGGAGGGTGGTCCGCCCCGCCCTCCGGTCCTAGGGGGAGCCCATTATATCGATATTACGTTTTTGAGACAATTCGATATATAGTTTAGGGCTGAATTTGCTTTCAAATATGGCTTCGATTCTGCGGTAGTATGAATTGACCCTTACCTGTAAATCAGGTGACACTGTAAAAATGACTGCTTGAGCCTCAAGGTCACGCTTTACGGATCTCTCGCCCAAGTTTGCAGAACCCACTACTGTTGCCCAGGGTACATCCTGGCCTGGAGGATAATACCTATAATAGATACATGACAGATGTCATACAGAAAAACAAGTTAAATAAAACGTAAAACAAAAACAATGGCATTAAACATTTTCAAGTCAAAATTAATTTTATTTATTGGTTTTTAATTAATATGAATTATGTACCATAATCCTTTAGCATGAAATGTCCAACCAGCACGTTCATATTCAAGCATTCGCACTCTACTAGCTTGATTAGATATTAAAACCTTTTCCCAAAATCTGGAATAAATTAAAGAATAAAATATTTGAAAAAAAAGTATTAAATATTTTAAAGAGAACTTATTCGAAAGCTCTTTGAAAAGTTCAGTAAAATATCACAATGTCAACATACTTTCTAGCTATGAGTGAATAGGCATGTGGTATTCCACCAGCAGGACCTGATGCCCCCATGAACCCGTTGGCCTGAAACCATATCAAATGTACTTTCTGAACAGCAATATAAATTATTTTATTCGTTTATTCAGAATAAAAATTATTTATAAATAATTATAAAGATGTAAAATTATTAGGTGATACACTTAGTTTTATAATGACAACTTGCAGTGATATAGGTATTTATAATATAATATATTTAAACTTACATTTGGATGTGCCATCAAAAGACTTATATTTGCCTTACACTCTTTCAACAATGTACTGGCATATTGTTCTGTTAGATTGAAATAACCAGTAGCTAATCTAATATATGAACCTTTAGGTGCTGATCCAAGTATACCACGAGTGGCTTGTTCATCCTGGGTGATATTGAATTCTCCCATTTGTAATAATGGAAACAACCATGTGTCATACTCATCTGAAGATTTACAATAATTATTATGTGTTGATTCCTGTATTACACACACACACACACACATACACTAGACAGCTAAAGTTTATTAAATAAATAAATATGTATTATGAACCTTTATTAAATAAATAAATATGTAGCTACAAGACAACATCAAAAACATTATTCAAATGTTAAGTAAGTAAAGAACTTGTATTATGGTAATCTACAACAATAAAGACAACACAAAATAATAGTAAAAATACCTGTACCAGAAGCAGTTATAGTTGTGAGCCTATTATCTTGAATCTTTTTCCATCTATCAATTAATTTATTTATGTTACTGTTGACATCTTCAGCCCTAAATGCTTTTTCAGTAGAGATCAAGTCATTTTTTTCACATTTCTTACTATAATTACTTATTTCATCTGTAAGTGTCAAAAAAAAAAGGCTAAGTAAATTTCTAGTTTTTAAAATTAAATCAGTATTCTACAATGTTAATTATTTATATAATTTGGATTTCTTTCACATTCAAAAAGAAATAAACTGAAATTCATATTATATGAAACTTACAGTCATCATACCTATAACATCATTATAAAAGTTTGCAACATCAGCATCCTGAATTTCAATATAACGATCCTGGCGCTGATTAAAATAATCATTGGAAAAATTAGCACCACTAATTAATACAGAATCATCAGCAATATATAGTTTCATATGTTGTAATCCAACAATTTCATTGTAACGGGCAGGCAAAGCTTTTGACCAAGACCCATGCAATCGCGGTGTTTGAAATAGTGTAATCTTACACTGATTAGAGATATCACTTAAAATATCTTGAAGAAGAGTTTTAGAACTTATATTACCGCGTGTACCTCTTTGGTAATCCAAAACAACAGTAAACTTTACATTTTTGTTATTTATACAGTTTTCTCTAGTAATACCCAATAATTTTTGTTCTAACGCCCCAGTTCCGATATAAAGACTAGCAATAGATATTCTACTATTGGCATTTTGAAAATTTTCACACAATTTAGTATAAAAATTCCTTGGATCAGTAATAATATTTATTTTTGAAGAATGAACTGGAAAACACGGGGCTAACCTATACAACCAGTTGAAGTAATTAAACTCTGGTCGTAATGTGAAATTATTATTTCTTAACATATTAAGAAGTACGTTTGTTAGTTTCATTCTATTTTAAAATTTACAGACGGAATGCTAACACGAGAACATTATAATTAAGAGACAACATCATTCATGAGAAAAACTTTCGGTTCTTGTTTTTGACATTAATTGTAAAAATTGACATTGACATTTTTTTTTTGGTAGATTTTTTCCTTAAAGGAAGATTGACATTGACATTAGAGATGTTTCATAGATTTAAATCTATGAAAGCTGGATATTTATACATCTTTAGATAAACATTAAACGATGTTTAACGAATAATATCGATGTTATACATCCTCAATAGATTAATGCCTCACAAACATCGAAACATCTTATGAGATAATAACATAGATATAATAGATATTCTATAATAACATAGATATTCTAGTGTGGTAATAGTGTGATATAATAGTGTTTTACAAGAGGTCGCTCAACAACCGAAGCCGGTGTCGAGTTAATACAAGAAATTTTTAATGCCTGTGAGGATTCACATGATGCGTTAGGTGTTTTCTGTGACCTACCTAAGGCATTTGATTGTGTTTTTCATAAATCATTGATTAGGAAACTTCATTATTATGGATTTAGAGATAACTCATTGGATTTTATTGTCTCATACTCGACTGACAGAGTACAGAGGGTTTATATCAATGGCAAAAGATCCCCTGGACCGAAAGTTAAGATGGGTGTTCCGCAGGGCTCAATAATTGGTCCTTTCTTGTTTTTAATTTACAAAAATGACTTGCCTTATTTCATAAGGGATGATCACGAGATAATTTTGTTAACGGATGACACTTCACTTGTGTTTAAAATTAAAAGAGGGCTACCTCTAAATGATGATATGAACAATTATATCGCTAAAGTTGTACATTGGTTAAATGTAAATAATCTTCTCCTTAATGACGGAAAAACAAAATGCCTAAAATTTGTACTACCTTACATATGCCGTAATGAAGATACGTTGGTTAACAAATACAAAATTCGGACATAAAAGACATTTACCGGCCCAGTAGTAGACACGGCAGTAAACATCTGGATGGATCACCTATTGTCGTCGAGTTCACTTCGGTTCTCATAAAAGAAAATGTGATTAGGAACTACAAAAAACTTAGTCTTAAGGAGAAACTCGATAAGATAAATACTGGCATATTCGGCATAACAAGTCCTCAAAAACCGATTTACATTTCCGAAAATCTTACTCCTAAAGGAAGACGTTTATTTTTCCTTGCACGTGATTTCGCAAAGACCTATGGTTTCACTTTCTGCTGGACGTCATATGGAAAAATTTACATACGGGAAAAAGAAGGTTCATCGCATATATGGATTGAAGAAGAGGCCACATTAATAGAGTTAAGGAAACAAGCATCAATTAAGTGACTATCTATGATATTATATTTTTTTCATAAATATCATTCCAACACTGCCCGTACGATAAAATACGTAGGCAATCTCCTCATGTATATAGCTCTATGTAGGATTTTAAATCTTGTTAAAGCGATTTATACATTTTTTTTTAATATTGTATGTCTCATTTATAATTTTTATATTAATATTATTTTATATCTACATAGCAAAAACACTTCACCACACAAACTTAACATATAAAAATAACATATTATTCACTACAATAAAAGTTAATTACATATACTATATGAACAACCATCATATTATTACTGTGACATTATTTAATACTGATATCAGTACCCATTCAAAAACCAATTATGATTTCTGCAAGATAATTTTTTATCCCATAGATCAATTTAAATATAAAATTCGATGAATTTGATCAAATACACAGTGACATAGATTCTTATATTATTGCTGAATCTTCACAATGCGACATTGAAAACTGTGAATCACTATTATCAGACCCTAATAAGTTTCTAAAACTATTTCATCAGAACATTAGAAGTATTAACTGTAATTTAGATGGATTGATACCTGAACTAAGTAGAAGTAATGTAAACTGGGACTGTATCGCGTTAACAGAATGCTGGCTACCGTCATCCACCAATTTGCCAACCTTGGAGGGTTATAATATTAAGGCAACTAGTCATAACCTTACACAAAACGAGGGTGTGGTTGTATATTTTAGAGACGATCTTTCGTTCATAATTAAAGAAGAACTCGTATTAGATTGTAATTGCTTAGCTATAAAAGTCAATACCAACACTTCAGCTTTGGTAATATATAGACCTCCGGGGTATAAAAATATAGATAATTTTATTCAGTCATTAAATGATACTTTGCAAAAATACTCATCAGTGCAAAACCTTATTTTAATAGGAGACATTAATATCGACATATCCAAAGACAGTTCAGATAATAGAAAGTCCCCTTACTTGGAAATGTTAGCTTTTCACGGAATTTTACCTGCACATTATTTCCCAACCCATAACAAAACGTGCCTAGATCATGTCATGTTGAGGTCAAGATCATCAGCTCAATGTCTTGTAATTCAAACTAGTATTACTGACCACGATAGCGTAGCGTTATATCTACACACATCATTTAAATTAAAATCAACCATATGTAAAACTAAAGTTGATAAAATAGAACTTGGTAAACAGTTAAAAATGATGGACTTTAGGTCAATCTTTCGTACTAAAGACGCAAATATAGCAACTGATTTATTCGTTGAATCTTTACGTAAATTAATTACAACTAACACTAAAACAGTACGGCTCCCAAGATCCAAAAGAGTAATAAAACCCTGGATTACTCCAGGAATTTTAAAATGTTTGAAAAACAGAAATAATACCTATGCATAAAAAATTAAAAAAAGAACCTAATAACGATATCGTCAACCGTAATATGAATTAATGTAACCGCCAAAATGGCGATATTGAGTTATATATACAGTTCGACTGCAAATTTTCCGCTCTATCGATTGGTGTATTTAAAATCTCGATATCTTGAAAAAAATGTCGAGTACCTTAATAAAATTTTAAGTAGATTTTTTCATTTATATTAACTTTTATGACGTATGATGCAATTTATAAAAATAGATAAACTGTAATTTACTGTAAGGGCAGAATAAGAAAATATTTTTAACGTAACTACTCAATGAATGACAATATCAATAATGTAAAGGTCATGTGTAAAAAACTGAATTTTAGAATGAAAGATATTAGAATTGCTTCTTTTAAAAATCGGATTTAAATAATGAGATAAAATACACTATGAAAGAAGAAACGCAGAAACATTCCGATTTCCCATGGGTCAAGGAACTAAAATTTCGTCAGGTAAGGGAAAGGGCAAAGGAAAACGAACAACAGCAAAGAAACTGGAGCCTAATGAAAGGAGTTTGGTCGATAATAAAATTCATAATGATTTACAGAAACTGTACCGGGCACGATTACCAATTTCTACGAAAAATACATGGATCTAAAAAAATTGTGCGCTGACGAAGTTATACCTAAACAGTATATTCAAGATTATTTACAGTTACCCTACACTATGAAAACTGATTTCTTAGATGACATAGGTACTTAATAAGAGGAGGAAGAGAACGTGACTAGTGATGAAGAAACTAAGGAACATAGTATAAAAACTGAAAAACCAAATAAGATAAATAAAAAAACAGATAAGCTAGATACAAGAGTTCCGTGCTCAAAAATACAATGTCGTAATTTAAGAAATTCAGATTTACAACCCACAGCAACTGAAAAAAAAGGAGCAAAAGGAAGAAAAGGCAGTAAAGGTGAAAAAGACTGCAAAGGAGAAAAAGGAAAAAAAGGCAGTTAAATAACATTACGAAAGAGAACGGGAAGCGTTAAACAAATACAAAAGAAAAAAAGTGGTGAAGCAAAATAGAGAAAAATAATTAACCATTTCAAAGATAAAGTAGGTACTTATTTTGTTGATGAAAAGAATTATGTTGGATTATTTTATTTTGTTGTTATTGTCATGAATAATTATGTTTCGATACTTGTTAATTAAAAAAGTTTTCTCTTTATATCATTACTAAAACTTTGTCTACTTGCACACGATTTTTCAATTTAGATTTAGAATAATTCTATTGCCGTCAGTTTATTTCCAATTTATGAAAAAAATAATGTTTTTATTTGGCCTAAACTATGCTTCTTCAGATTAAAGTTTTAGTTTATAGACATCTAAAACTAAGCTTTTACTAATCTAATCTAATGCTATTTCGATATTTTTTTTTAGATTTCCTAAATTGGTTTAGTTTGTTAACTTTTTTAAAATCGTTTATTAATTATTATGAAAGTAGTAGTTATTCATGAACCCCTTACTTATAAACCCTATTTAACTTAAACAGTATTTAAAAGTGATGCTGTCCTGTTAAAGCAATATTGACATAAAAGCATCACAGCATCACTTTAAACAATATCTAAGTTAAGCTGAAGCTAAACAAGGTTTATAAGTAAGGGGGTTAATTCGTAGCTAAAATGATTGATCTTTCAGTAGATCTTTCAGTGTAAGTACTAAGGTACTATTTGAATAAGGAAAATGAAACAAATAGGTGCTTAATAATTATTACATTCGGAGACTGATTTGTTTTGTGACTTTGATCTCAAAAATAATTACGATGTTATTAATTGAAAGCAATAAAACTGTTTTTCTAATGTGGCTTTTTCATACTGAATCCCTTTTTCACAAACTAGCAGTAAATGTAAAGATTATTCTATTTTAGACCTGTTAAGGTATATAAGAGAATAGGAATGAAAATTCATGAATCATCCTACTATAACGTTTATCCATATACTAAAAATAGAGTGATATACGTTAACGATTTTTATATTTTTAGTACTATACGTTAAATTTGGAGAAATGCAATGTGAGTTACTTTAAAGCTGTTTATATTTTTTTCTACAAAAATCAAGGTAACTCGATATTTTTTCGAAAAAAGTGACGTAACCACCATGTCATCTTGGAAACTATAAAACTAGGCTTCATATGGTTTATTTATATTAATAGATCTAAACATTTTACAGAAACAATTAAAACAGTATTTAAATCGGATTAGTACATAAAAAGTTATAACTGTTTTTGTAATTTCAATTTTGTTTTTTGGCTCTCCTGTAAAGTAGCCATTTGGCGGTTACATTAATTCATATTACGGTTGACGATATCCTTAAAATAACGTATAAACGATACAGAAATTATTGCTCAAATATTCTAAAACAAGTGAAAAGAGACTATCATCGTCAACAATTACTAAATGCAAGAAATAATAATAAAGAACTTTGGAAAACGATAAAAGAGATAACCTACACGAAAAAAAATCTCGAAAATCCATCTGCATTACTAAATAATAATGATCCAATAAAATCAATAAATCAGGTAAACAGTTTCTTCGCCAATATAGGAATACAACTAGCTGAAAAAATTACAGCTAATTCTAACTCAAAATTAACAGGACTCCCAAATAATAGTTCTAGCTCTTTTGTTTTGTTACCTACGGATTGTAACGAAGTCGAATCACTCATAAACAATCTTAAGGTTGATTGCGCTGTGGGATTGGATATGATTTCATCTGAGATTTTGATTACATTTAACGATATCTTAACACCACCAATCACACATATCTGTAATTTGGCTCTTTCAACTGGAGTCTTCCCCATGGCCTTAAAAAAGTCAAGAATTCACCCAATTTATAAGGGCGGTGACAGAGACTGTGTTAACAATTATAGACCTATAGCTATTCTCCCAACCTTGTCCAAAATTCTAGAACGTATCATAAACAAAAGATTAATGAATTATCTGGACGCAAAAAAATTGTTATCACAGGCTCAGTTTGATTTCAGAACTGGTAAATCCACAGCCGATGCAGTCCATGTAGTAACAGACTTTATTGTAAAAGAAATAGATAATAGAAAGAAAGTGATAGCAATATTTTTGGATCTAGCGAAAGCGTTTGACACAGTCTCTGTCTCTATCTTGATCAATAAACTTGAAAGTCTTGGTATCCGAGACCTACAGTTGAAACTTTTTAAAGATTATTTATCTAATCGCACCCAGCGTGTCCAAATTAATAACCACATCAGCAGAGAACTTCCAATTTACTTTGGGGTCCCCCAAGGTAGTATTTTAGGCCCCACTCTATTTTTGACTTACATTAATGACCTATGTCAGTTAATGCTACCTAACATGCAGATAGTCGCATTTGCTGACGATACTGCATTGCTGTTTAGTGGGGACACCTGGGAAGAAGTTTTTTCTCATGCCCAGATGGGTTTCAAAAAAATAACATCCTGGCTAAAAACAAACGTGCTGACACTCAACGTAGAGAAGACTCACTTTATGACTTTTGCCCTACGGAATAATGTACCTGATTCCTCCTATTATAACATAATATACCATCAGTGTAACAAAAAATATGAAAAATCATGTATATGTCCAAGATTACTAAAATCTGAGTGTGTAAAGTATTTGGGTGTGATGATGGACAGTAGGTTAAATTTCCAGTCTCATATTGAAATGATAACCTCAAGGGTTCGAAAACTTATGGTAATATTTAAAAATCTTGGACACATAGGTGATGCAGGGTTAATTAGGACCGTTTATTTTGCCCTATGCCAGTCTCTACTTACATATTGCATAGTGGTATGGGGTGGAGCTGCAAAAACAACTTTTTTGAGAGTAGAAAGGGCACAGAGAGCAATTCTAAAAGTGAGTATGTCGTTACCATACCGTTATCCTACTACTGAACTCTATGAAAAGTGCAATGTACTCACAGTGCGACAACTATATATTATTCAAACCCTTCTTAAACAGCACTCAATGTTAAAATATGAACCCCATAAATTTATTCATAAGCGGAGAAAGGACATAGTCTGTGTCCAGAGCAAGTTTAATAGTTGTTTCTCTCATCGTTTCTTCTGCTATCAGTCTTGCAACTTGTATAATAAGGTAAATAGGATCTTATCAATTTACTCTTTAACTTCAAGTAAATGTAGAGCTGTTGTGAAGAGGTGGTTGCAAAAACTTAACTATATTTCCACCGAAAACCTGCTATAAATAATTTGTGATTTGAGAGTAACTTTTGGAGTTTCATATATTTCTTTTAAATAATCAGAATAAGCATATACCTTCATACACACCAACACACACACGCACACACACCAACACACACACACACACACACACACACACACACACACACACACACACACACACACACACACACACACACACACACACACACACACACACACACACACACACACCAACACTTACACTTCACACACTCACATACACTCACACATCCCTTTTTCTTGCTCTTATTGTGCTAAGTTAAATGTTAAAATATTTCTCTTCCTTTTTATTTTTATATTACAGCATTGTATGATGAGTACCTATAAAACGAAATTCTGTAACATGCCGAGGGGTGGGGTCCTGGTGATTTGCAATACAGGTTAATCCCATTTCAAACACCAGCTCCTCACAGCATTAATATTAATAATATTTATGTATTTACCCAATGCAATGTAAGTTTTTTGTGAGGAGAATAAATAAAATTATTATTATTATTATTATTATAATTATTATTAAAATTATTAACTGACATAGATACTGCCAGATTAGTATACTTAAGTTACTTTCATAGTGTAATGTCGTACGGAATCCTATTATGGGGAAATGCTGCCATCATACAAACGATAATTTTGACTTTGTGAAATAGTAATATAACATATATCCAAGGATATTAATACTATAGATATGAGATATTTGTTTGACGTTAATACAAATATTTACTGTATTTTTCCCTACGATCCAAGATTTTTCCGTACTCTAAGTACTGCATGTGCTAGTTCCATTGATCTAAAACTACTTGGACATGCATACCTACAATTTTAGCGTGCAATACCTACTCCACTCTTTAATCAGAACAATGAGGATGTCGCACAAGTTGTTGGCTGCGACAAGTATTTAAAAATTTAGTTCCCGAAATCAAACTAGATGTCGCTACGGTACGTTCTTGATTTCTCCATAACCCTTCGGGCGCTTGTGCACTACACTGAATTTTCAGGTCCGGCGGTCCGATTTTTTCCGGTCCGGAATGACATGAAAAACTCGGATGAGTAGCTTGTGCACTTGTCCGTTTTTTTCCTGATCGGAGCGGCGCAGTGTAGGGCAGCTCTCTTTGAAGCTACACGTCACTTTCGCTAGGTACGATGAGATTTTTGGAGCGTTGGTAATTCCGTTCGATGACGTAGAAAGGTACCTAAATAATGATCTGATCGTTTTACATAAATCATAATAAATTATGGCAAGACGAAAGCATTTTTTTACTACTATCGGATGACTACTATCAGATGTAAAAACTTATACCCTTACTAATTTAGGAACAGCATTATTCACATACAATAGCTAACAATATCTGACATTAGAATAAAATTACTGATAATGGTCTAGTACTTGATGTTTAAATTTTTAAATGTGCTATTTTTTTCGAAGTTTTGTAAAAACAACTTTCAGCGATTACAGAGATAGACCAATCAGTGGCGCCATTTCGTAAACAAATCGAAATTAGTGCCGTGTTAGCGGAGAATTATTATGCTAAATGAACTTTACGAGATCAGTTGACTGTATTATATATAGGCATAAGTTTATACGCGTGGTGTAGTTTCTTTGAGCAGAAATATTATTCCCTTAGAATACTTATTTTTTTAAAATTCATTAATGACACAAACATACATTTAAAATTTTATTAAATGCGAAAAAGACATTGAGTGTTACATAATTACTTTTGTTAATCTTCTGTTTATTCTTTATTATTACTTCTGTTGTCAAATATTTATCTATACTTATCAATTGTTTAAAAAAAATTTGATAATGACAAATTTCCAGGCAAACTTTCATCCCCTATTTTTCGCAATAAAATGTAGCCTATGTCCTTTCTTAAAGTTAAGTCTATTTACTATATTAATTTCCATTTAGATGGGTTCAGTTGTCTAAACGGAACAACACTTATTTATCTTACTTAAGCTATCGATACTTTTAATACGATTCTAAAATCTAGCTAAGTATCGATACTAGAACCATATGCTGATCAAATTAGAACTATACCGAGTTTTCCAAAGCATATGCAGTGATATATACCAACTATATTAAATCATCATATAAAATATAGCATTTTATAATCAACAATAAATATCGATTATAAGTTTATTGGAAATTAACAATATTGCCGAAATAAATATCGATTCAAATGGATTATTTTTTCTAATGCCTATTCCTTATGAATTTTCCGGATCTCGGACACAGCAGTGCACAAGCGTAAACACGTTTTTCATTGCCGCCATCACGGACCTGAAAAAACCGGTCCGGAATAGAGAAAAGTAAAATTCCGGACGGTAAAATTCCTGACAGTGCACAAGCGCGCATTACCTACATATGGCCTGACATATCGGACCTGAAAAAATCGGACCGCCGGACATGAAAATTCAGTGTAGTGCACAAGCGCCCTTCCGGTTTTGTTTCATATATAAAAGTACATTAATTTGCAAAAATCAATAAACAACTCATATTATATTTGTACTGTTTGCAAAAATTTACTTAAAGCGATTTTAAATATAGAAATTGACTTTATAGGTACCTAACCTGGAAGTAGGTTTCTTTGGTATGCGATAATTTAAAGAATAAAAGCAAGAGTTCAACAATTTATTTTCAAATACATGCAGAACTTTCTATAGTTTATTATATTTATTATTGCTTTCCCATTCTTACTCATTTCAGTGCGGCATTCCAAAGAAAACTATTAGGACGCCTAGCAACATGACCGTACTTAGGTAAAAAAAAAAAACTTTAAAACCTCACCTTTAATATATAAGATAGTTAAAGTCAAGAAACTAAAGATTTATGTAGGTTTATTTTTTAGGTAAAACTAATATAAAATATACAATGTTGAAATTACATTATAATGTTTATTAAATAAATGTAAAATCTCGTCCTTTTTAACTTAATTAGTAAGAAATATAAAAATAACATCAATACATCTTATTATTAATAATAACAGTCTTTTACTCAGTAGAAGAGTAATCTTCTTGCAGAATTTGGTCTTGTTCTATGCCAAAAAAAATTTTAAAGTTCTTTGGTGTGATTTCCTTTACGTATGCCCAGGACATACGCTTCGAACTAAAATAAACGCCAACGTCACCATTTTTGGCAAGTGTTATAGCACCGGCTGTATTATTCAAGCGTTGTGTCATATCTGTAAAAAGTGAAAAATTAGAATATTTTTAACTATAACAAAATAATGACATTTGACGCAAAAATTAATATTGTATATAGGATTTTAACATTGTAGGTGATTAGACGCTAGAGCTTAGAATCAAAGCATGAACCAGCAAATTTCAGTTTATTTAATTTTTAAATTTATTTTTAGGTAATCTAACACAATACTCTTGTTCGTAAAACGAGACAATAAATTAATTTTAATTATAGTTCAAAGGGTACCGCGCCTTAAAGACAGAGTGGTGTTTTACCTATTTAACCAGAAAAAATAATTTTCTTTCGCGGACTTTCCTCAATGATAAAACAAGCAGTGTTATATTTTGTAGGAATACCGTGATTTTCAGTCAGACATGCTAAGTCACACTACCTTGAAAAACGCCGACCTGCACCCCTTTTATTGTGTTGTCCTTCATAAGTTATTTTATGCAATCTAACCTATGATCAAGTATGAAACCGTAAGGATCGGTACATATCCAAACTTGCACATTTGACAAAAGATCTGTCGAGTGTCAAGGTTAAATAATCATTTATTTGTCAGACGACCGACAAGATGCGGAAACTATCCGCCAAATTTGCACTGATCCTGAAAACTCATTTTCAAATCTCCAAGAGTTTATATTATGAAAAAATAAATTTTATGTACCCATAACAGCATTTTTTGTAGCAGTGCTGGCGTCCATACCATTTTCCATCAGTTTCACAACACTGTGGGCTAAACAATATTTCAAAATCGATTCCCCGTGTCCTGAAATATAGAAAAATATCTAGGTTACAAACTGTAGTTGTTTACCGATAACCTATCTATAGTGCAATAAAGTAATAATATACTACAATAGTGACGTTATTAACTCCGATAACATCAATAGATTACACTATCATTTGTTTAATAAACTGTGATAATACAGCCTACTAAAATTAATTACACAACTAGTAAATATTTCAAGCACAATAAGTAAAAGTGGTTTAAATACTACTTTCTACATATAATTATAATTGAAAATCTATGCTATTAGCGGTTACTAAAAAATCGGTAGAATTTATGGTATTGCATAAAAAGATTAAACTATTGATACTGTTGTCAATACCGTTATTAACTATTGCTATGCTGAGGATAATGGTACTGGTTGTATAATAAGTACTATGTCATACGCTATATTTTAAAGATACACATTATGAACCTGTTTTGTACAATTGTAATGAATTAAAAAAAATAAAATGAAAAAAAAAACTTAGTTTTATAGGTCAACTATCGACAGCTGGACAACTTTTTAATCATACAGTAAATTATCCTGAAGGCTTCCATGGTCTAAAGCACGAACGCCAAACTGAAAGAATTTCATATAATGACCCGCACAACATATCTCTTTCACTCATACGCAAACAATTGCTATTGCGCTCGCACGGACGCATCTAGCAAATTTTGTCATAGAACCTAAGATATTTATGATATTTATCAGTATCTACAAATCCCTAGCAATATTTATTATTATCAATAATATTAACCGGTAATATAATTCCTTCCTATCATACCTTATGTTACAATAATAACCTTTATCTTATACTCTTCTTATCCAAATTTTTCCAAATTCCTAAAACACTATAACTATTTCGCTTTCCTGACATTGCCCCAACTTTAACACATAAATAATATGTCATTGGCTAAATGCACAAGCTGTGCAAAGCCAGGGCAGAAATAGGCACAAAGGTTCAATTACGAATTATTCTTTGTTAATCGACTAAGTTATAGTGAAAATTAACTTTTTTTTATATTATCTGGGTGCCTTCATTGTTTCGAATTTCTTAACACAAAGACTATAGTTTGGGTTCTAAACACCATGTGTGATGTATTATGTACTTATTTAATTATGGAAAATTATAAACACATCAAAATAAATAGCACCTGTTGTAGAAACTCCACCAATATTATCATCTGCATAAGTTCCACTTCCTATTTGAGGTGTATCACCAATTCTGCCAACAGCTTTTCCACTCATACCACCAGTGCTGGTAGCAACAGCTACAAAGCCATTTGAATCAACTGCAACAGCTCCAACTGTGCCAACATCAGCCTGAAATAAAAATTCACTTAAATGTCGACACATCAGTTATGTCACTCAATGCACACTGCATATAGTAAGTGCAGACCAGTAGTAGCTACTATTTTAGAAATTAATATTAACTTATATATTATTTTGTGTTTATTTATTAACAAAACCTCAAATTCTTCATCATTATAATAGAATAGATTTGTAAAACATATCTTCTGGAAATATTTAGTTGTCACTTATAATGTATCAAAATATCAGTATAATGAATATTTTAAACAAACAAAATTATGCTTAGTCAGTTATAATTAAAGCATAAATTAGTTATTATGTATTAAACTGATCATCCGTTGATTATAATATAAATAAGCTATTGTTAATAGGTGTATAAAACCCAATTATCTTAAAATAAAATGAATATTTGATGTATCAAAACCTTATCTTGTGCACCAATTTCAGTTCTTCCAAATTCCCCATGTTTTAAGAAGTTCTGTAAAGCTTTTCTAGCATTATGACTTACTAAAGATTCTGGAGACACAGTTGAAAATCCCTGAAATTAAAAGTTGACATAAACTTTTAAAACTACATGCTATGCTGTTTCAACTGATGTGATTATTTAAATCAATTGCTCACCTTTGCTAAAGCAAATCTTTTTGCTCCATCCCCACCCAACAAAGAATGAGGTGAGTCTGTCAGAACTTTGTGTGCAATGCTTATGGGATTAGGAAAGTCTTTAATAAGAGTAACTGCACCAACATCAAGATTAGTACCACTCATGATGCTAGCTTCCATTTCTACTTCTCCATCAAGATTAAGAACTGACCCATAACCTAGAACATGCAAAATATTTTTTGTAATTATAAAATAAAACACTTTCAAATTAAAATGTTGTAATACCACAGCTACTCTTGTTATATCCATTAAAATTGAAGGAAACTTTGATTGCATAAGTAATAATAATATTATGAATGTGTAGTGTAATCATACCAGCATTAAAGTTTTCATCATTTTCCATAGCAACAACAGCTGCTTCAACAGCATCCAATGCACTACCACTCTTTAGAAGCACTTCATATCCTTGAATAACAGCAGCTTTTGTTCCTATGAGTTTTCCTTGCACTCTGCTATCTGGTATATCTCCAGCACCACCATGAACAATTATAATTGGTTTCATTTTCTATTTCTGAAACAAATTTAAAGAATAAAAATGTATAATACAATCTAGTGTTTAAACCACCCACTGAATGACTAGCAAAGAGTACAGTAATAATAATGACTAGTCATGGACTAGTCCATGACTTATCAAAGCATATTCAACAACACCTCAGGTATATAAGTAAATATGTCAAATGTCTTTACTTAAATTTAAATCATAATACATCAAGAGTAGAGTTGAAAGAATGGAAATAATATAAAATACCTATAATCTGAGGTGCTGCACACATATTTAAAAAGTAAAGTTGTTTACATGTTGATAATTTCTGTTTGATTAATCGAATACCTATTTACTATCTGACAAATTACATAGAAACTGTTGTTTTGTCTTGTAAGATACACACATCACACATCTAAGACAACGTAAAACTACTTATGAGAGAACTATAACATACATTAATAATATTATTGTGTAACAAGTGGACGTCAGACGCAAATAAATTATTTCATCCATAATTACCTAGCAGGCATGTATCTCAGAAATACATAGAAATCGGATTCGAGACCAAGATTGCACAGCGAGAATGTAAACAAAACAAACAAATGTCACATAAAGGATGGATCAAATTTAATACTAAAACGATAGGAATTATCGATACTTTTAAACCGATTATCTCATTATGATTTATGTCGTTTAAAATCACATTGAATACTTAAATTATTTTAAGTTTCAATAATGCAATGATAATAATAAAAAGTATTTCAAGAAATAAATGGATATTCCCAGGCAAAACATTTAATGCCGGAAGTTCCTATAGTTACAGACCATGTATTGCATGATCCTAGCTTTTGGTAGTTTTTTTTTTTTACTGCATATCTCGTAAATAGTTTATGACTTCGCTTTGGTCAACGAAACGAGAAAATATTCTGTGAACGAAAATGAAAAGAAGAAAAATGGTGGCCTAACTGGCGTAAAAGTAGAAGTTTACGCATTAGAATGAATACATTATCTCATATAAAGAAAGAATAAAGTTTGTGATGTTTATGTAAATGATCAAGAACATGTCGACCCCTGTGTCGAACCGCAAATATGGAGCACAAAAAGTGCGACTCACAAGTGAGTGGTGCTCTTTGCGTAAATTATGTCGAATACTTTTACTAACACATTTAACTAAATCACCGTTTCTTTTCTTCTTTTAGTATTGTGTGCCAGGAACTTAGTTCGAAGAGATCTATTTCGTAAGTCCATTTCCGTTATCTATTATTGTATGGAAATTGAATTGTAGTTCTCAAGGTTCTGTCTGGGAAAGTTCGAAACTTGAAAACAAAATTTCTACTAAGAATTTCACATGCTACGCATATATTTTCGATCAGAACTGCTGTTTTTTACATTGTGTTTCAATTACAGGATTGCCAGATCCTTTTGCTAAAATCACAGTAGATGGGAGTGGCCAGATTTATACAACAAATGCAGTTAAAGCCACACTGGATCCTAAGTGGAATACTCACTATGACCTGTATCTTACCAAAGGGGATGGAATAACTATAAGGTAAATATATATTTTTCAAATTAATTATAAATTCATAGACCCAACTTTTACCTACTCTGAGAAACTAAAAATTAAAAACCAGAATTTGAACTCACTCAGGTGTCCGAACTCACTTCAAAAAGCATATCTACTCAATCTTGAATTGGTTATACCATTTTGTGGCATAAGTGAAGTGAGTTTCGAAATGACATAGGAATAGAATATCTGAAACACATATAATCAATCATGTTTTGTATTTTTATATAAAAAATGAAATCAATAGAATTTCTATATTAAATTTTGTGAATTTGGACATATGAGGGAATTCGAATTTGGGTCTGGATTTTCACAGAATCTCAGAGCTGATTGATAATTATTAAAATAAATCAGATAATTTAATTTTAATCCTACAACAATTTATGTGGATTGATAGATGATCCTGGAACATCATGGATATACTAACAATTTGTTTAAACAACCTGTATATGGCATGTAATGTATTATGAGTTTCATTGCAATAAACATAGATATTCCGTTCATTTAAGTAACTGCAATTTAAACAAAAGTTGACAATACAATTGAACATTTGAACAATTTCACTCAAATATAATTGTGACACAATAATATCAACATTGGAAAGCAAACACATAGTAACTTGCAAAACCAAAATTGTTCTTCTAATAAGAAAGACCTTTATTTAAATAAAGTCTTATGAACATGCATGGTAAGAAAATAGGTAACTTTTAGTTGATCAATACTGAAATAGGATTCTTTCAAAAATAAAAAAAAACTTTAAGAGAGCAAATTCAGTTTTTTGGATTGTTATTTATTTGATTTTTAGCTTCAATATAGGCCAAAATATAAAAGTTCAAATTCAATTAATCCAAAATAACTAGGGACCAATTATAAAGGTGTTAAAGAGTACAACTTACAAAGGCAAAACTTCTTTCTTAAAAGTATTTTTACTAAAGGAGAATGCCTATTTTGCACGGGAATATGTTACAGCGTGCATCAGCCCATAATTACTCTCAATGAGTCAAATTCTTATTTAAATTTTCACTTTTATCATAATTTGACTTTTGTGAGGTATTCTTAATTTGAGACAGATTATATATATTAAAATAAAGATGCCCGTATTTTTTAGATATTTAATTTAATAATATTCACACAATATTTATTACACTTATGTGATAACACTCAACGGAACTTTTCTATTCATATTTAACAAAAAGCATTCACCATAAACGCCGATCCACTAATTCCAAGAAGTGTTACTATAATATCTATTGTGTATTGTTCAATATAAATACAAAAATATGTTTAAGTAAATAAAAAAAGAGTAGATATTTGACCATCACCATGCAATGATCCTTTTATTATTATTGTATTTTAGTGTATGGAATCAAAGAAAAGTGCACAAAAGACAAGGCTCTGGATTTCTTGGATGTGTGAGAATTCAGCCCTCAACAGTTCACAAGTTAAAAGATACAGGATGTGAGTAATCATTAACATATTTATCATACAATTTCAGGTTCAAGTAATCTGAACTTCTTTTGTATTTTTTAGTTTATATCTAAAAGGTATAAAAATAATGTTATAAATATGCATACTAATTAAAGTAGACTCATGTAATGGGAAAAAATATGGTTAATTTACATACCACACACCCAACTAATTATGTTTATTGATATTAATAGAATTGGGATATTAATCTCTCTTTCTAGGTGCTTTCTTGGATTTTATGTTCTGTCAATAACATGTTACAAAACTCATATGCCTCCACTTGGTTTTAAACCTTAATACATTAAGCCGCGTATCGACTGCGCGCGGCAAACCATCGAACATTGGCTCGCGCGGCGGCCGCGCAATATGGGGACGGCTCCGCCGCGCGCGGCAGCTCGAACATTGGTGCGCTCGAACGTGCCGCGCGGCGAACCAGTTCGTGTCGGTTTCTGGTGGCGCGGCAAAGGAGCGTCAGTGTGTTGTGCGTGCGCAATTGGGACGGACCTTTTACTTAGAGACGCGCGGCAAGATGGATAACAAGAAGTGTCGGCATTTGATTAGATTATATGGCTTAAAACCTTACTTATTTGTTGTCATTCGTGTGAAATTTTTGATTGTTTCGTCGATAGCTTCGTATCTCATGTCTTCCATTAATCGTGAACTACCATGTAGCATTCTATTCATATATATTTTTTTGATCCACCAACGAGGTTCTCGTCTCGAACGCTTATGAATAATATGATATATGATGATAAAAGCCGCAGCTGCACGTCGCTGACGTGATACGTCCATGGTTGCCGCGCACAAAATGAATGTTTGTTCACGGATCGCCTGCCGCGCGCGGCTGCCGCGCTATATGAAAATGTGAGCTTTAAATTGGCTCGCGCACCAAAACGCAGGTTTGCCGCGGTCGAACATGGCTCGCGCGGCAGCCGCGCGCAGTCGATCAATTTTTCATTCATGATTCTATTGGAAACTTGGTGACTGCTGTATGTGTAAACAGCCAGTAACAGAATTTATGTCTAGACTAGATAAACATAAGGAAATAGACATTACTTATTTATTCAGTTTTATTCCTCGCATTTCAGCTGCTATTTAGTCACCATTATTTGACAAATATCGCGCAACCATAAAAATGTCGACTTTTAGTAGATCCGTCTGATAGACTCGTCTTACAAAACCCTATTTCGATGAAACAAAAACGATTTACACGAGTATGCACATTAAACGCAGTAACTTTTATAGTAATATTTCATGTGCTGGTGTGACTCATTCTCGCAATCGTGATGTGAATAAACTTAATTATTGTAAGTTGCCGCAACCATCTAAAAACTTTTCATTCAATCAATTTCAATCTAGAAATTTTTCGGATGAACATACAATCTGGAAAAATTAAAATGATCAATTTGATAAATGTGAGTCCATGACATTGCTGGACTTATTTTAATCATTTCTATGCCAACTTTATGTATATGACTATTGTTTATGATAAGTAATCTTCAATCGTATTTTTGTGTCAACAGATAATATTTTTAGTGTTGTTTTCCATTTTCAGGCCATATTACGTGAATCATGCACTTCGTCGCACGCAATGGGAACGGCCGGTGATAGACGCGTCGAGTCCGGTCGCCGCAACAGTGGCTTCGCCCCCTTCGTCCCCTTCCCCGCCCACTGCTTCACCTGCTACAACATTATCACCTAATTCACCCGCATCCCCAATCTCTGATACAGACGTTAGCGTCAGCACTTCTATATCGTTAAGGTAACTAAATATCTAAGTCCATAGGACTTATAATCTATATTTTATTATATCATAATAATTATCTATACTTACATTATAAAGAGGAAAGATTAGACTGTTTGTTTGCAATGAATAGGCTCTGAAATTACTGGACCTATTTTTATAATTCTTACACTTATGGGAAGCTACATCATATGCGGTGGACATAGGCTATATGTTATCCAGAAAAAATAGCAAGTAAATGGATGAAAGAGAGAATGGAAGTTTGTATAGGGACATGAAACGTTAACAAAGTAACAATCATTTACTATTCGATTTGTCATTTTATCCGTGTCATGATATGAATTGATATCTAAAATAATTATTGAATTATGCACAGGAGTAAAATAATCTTACTAATATTATAAAGACGAAATTTTGTAAATTTGGATGTTTGTTACTTCTTCACGTAAAAACTACGTAACGGATTTTGTAAGAATTTGGTATACATATAATTCTAAGTCCGGATGTAACATATTGGTTACTTTTATCCTGCTAAACAATTCGCTATGGACCACGCGTGCGAAGTCGATGACAGAAAACTAGTTATCAATCAATCACAAATTAAGTGTATCGTCATTTTAGTGTGATGTGTTTCGGAAAGTAATATCAAAAAGTTGGTGAGGGTCTATTGAAAGGAGATAAGTTTGTTAGGGAAACGAAAGACTTGTGTTGATTTAATGCTCAGGGTTTCTGTTTATCCCGCAAGGGATCTGCGGGTCTACCTTCTAACTAAAGTTGCATAAAGTTGCATAATAACAGAGGCTGTGGTTGCACTCACAGTCACTGAGTCATAAACCGGTTTGTCTCATTTTTTATTAAACTTAAAGAATTAAAACTATTTTCAATATGTAAAGATATCTGAGATGAATAAATGATTTTATTATTATTATTATAACGTAGCCCTGAATTATCTATGTATATCATGCACCAATCCAATCAGGCCTGGTCTATCCTATCCTAAACCATCTGATATAGATTCTAGATCGCCTGACAGATCATGCAGGACTTCATTTTAACACAGCAATCAGGCGTGAACATATTAGGTATTCAACATAAGAACATCACTGCAATTCAGATTTTTAAATTTTGTTATAAGCATTGATGTAAAATGTTACTTTTAAAGTGTATCAGAAATTATCAAATATTTTTGTAGGCCTGAACCACAACCCCAAACTGCGGTTCGGTCCCGTCAAACAAACACAGTCGAGTCACCGGCGAGTCCCGTATCGCCCACTTCACCCACTACTCCTACAACATCTATTGCTGCCACTGATCTACCACCAGGATACGGTATTTGGACTATATTATTTATTGTCTATATTGTCGAACCGCTTATAAGCATGAAGATGATGAAAGGAAACACTTTGCTTATGACCTTCAGTAATTTTATCACTGATAAAGCTGTTTGTAAATCTGGGTCAACTAACATTACTCCTTGAAGCTTCTATTCATTGGTACACCCATACTTAAATTGTGTTATCGTTTAAATTTGCTTGTGTTGTATCATTATCGATAAAGTGCATCTTTTGGACTTTAATCATTAAGACTGTATACAATTCTCTAAACAAGTTTTCAGCTTAATTGAGTTTTATCTTACATTTCGGTCACCTCGCGTTCCTCAGCACGTGCCTAATTTGCAATATGGAATCAATTAGTCTGGGCAAATTTAAATGTGGCACACATGACACATAAGTAGTTTTCTTTTAGGCGGTCATACATCTCTTATCTTATCGATATTACATGAATCTGACCCGGTATCACTAGTTTCTTGTTTATTTTCACTGTCATTAATGCGTTCAGATAAATAGTCGTCGACGTCATTAGCGCCGGGTTAAACCCGCCGGTGTTTATATAAAATTAAGTTATTGGTACAGAGATGGCAACAACGGCCCAGGGTCAAGTGTATTTCTACAACCGCGTGATTGGCACGTCCACTTGACACGATCCCCGCGTTCCGCAGCACCTGAGGCACAGCGCTGCATCCACGGCCCCGTTGATATCTATAGAATAGAATAGATATTTATTTGCCTTTAAATAGGGTACTATTTGATAGCAATTAATTAAAATAAAATTAGAACTTAAAACCTATTTATCCATACAAAGATAGCATGCAAATATTAAATTTAATTAATTTACTATCTAATATTATCTATTTTTAAATGACGTCACGCGGGTCTTATTCAGAAAAGGTTTTCAGCGCATTAGCAATTTAATGGACTTGTATTGGGTACAGAGATGCGGACAACGGCCCAGGGCCAAGTGTATTTCTACAACCGCGTGATTCGCGCGTCCATTTGACACGATCACCGCGTTTGGTCGCTGCGGCCGCGGGCCCGCTGCTATCTATACTATCTATTTTTAAATGACGTCACGCTTGTCTTATTCAGAAAAGGTTTTCAGCGCATTATAAATATTAAGGGACTTGTATTTGTGTACAGAGATGCGGACAACGGCCCAGGGCCAAGTGTATTTCTACAACCGCGTAACTGGCGCGTCCACTTGGCACGATCCCCGCGTGCCGCAGCACCTGAGGCACAGCGCTGCGGCCGCGGGCCCGCTGCCCCCCGGCTGGGAGATGAGGCACGCGCCCTCCGGACGGCCGTACTACGTCGACCACAACAATAGGACCACGCAGTTCACGGATCCGAGACTGGCACTGTGTGCGAGACTGGTGAGTTTACACTCGATTCAAGTAAATTGGACTAAATTAGAGCACCACGATAAAACATTTGGATATGGGATATTACAATATACAATCACAACCAAAATTTAATTAATTAATTATCAAAACGATAATTATAAAAGAACAGAAAAGTCACCAATTTCCCCACAAGTCGACACTGCTCAGTGGGATTGATATTTGATGAGTTGTAATTTTACACCTTATGGTTATTGAAACAAGAGTCACTGTACATTTTTATCGTACATTTGGTGAGTGCTCTATTTGACGAAGAAGCCCTTGATTCTGGTGAGGTAATAAACTTGTATATTAAGAAAAAAATTTAAAGGGCTATTCAAGCGAATTAGACTAAATTAGAACAGCATGATAATAAATAACATTTGATTTGATATTTTAAGAACAGTCAGATCACCAACATCCACACAATTCGACACTGCTCAGAGTGAGATTGATATCTGATGAGTTGCAATTTTACACCTTATGGTTATTGAAACAAGGGGTTTTTTTTTATCGTACAACTGGTGAGTGCTCTATTTGACGAAGAAGCCCTTAATTCTGGTGAAGTAATAAACTTGTATATTAAGAAAAAAAATTATAATATATGCTATGTTTCTTTTTTATTTGATTAGATAATCCAAATATTTTTTTTATTCAGCCCCAGCCTGACCCACCTCCGGTAATGGCTTCACCGATATTTCCAACTTCAAATCCTGCAACTAATGAGCCCCCCGACTCGGACGCATTACCTAAATACAAGCGAGACCTCGCAGCGAAAGCTCGCGTGCTGCGAGCGGAACTTCAAGCTCTGCAACCGCAAACTGGCCACTGTCGTATAGAGGTATATTATATTTCCTAATGTACAGACGACAATTGTTGAACGTATACTGCAAAATCATTTTTACACATATCATGAGTGAGCATGGAAGTTTTTAAAAGCGAGTTACAGTGGAGCATAATATAAATTTAGCAAGTCCATTTTCTAAAACTCACCTGTACCTTAAAAACATTATATGTTACACCTACAGAAAGACGCTTTTTCCTTTTGTCACTTACTACATGTAATTTACTTTATTAAACAATAAAAGAAAACGCACTAACAAGAATGTTAATATTTTGATGAAGATTTTACTATCGAAAAGGTTTCATTGATGAATGTATCGTATATGCAATAAGATATTAATACTTGTCTAATATCTATTTGCAATGTTTGTACAGGTGTCACGTAACGAGGTTTTAGAAGAATCATACCGGTTAGTAATGAAACTCCGCGGTAAGGAGCTACGCAAGCGGCTCTTGGTGAAGTTCCGAGGGGAGGAAGGATTAGATTACGGCGGCGTGGCGCGAGAATGGCTCCATTTACTTGGACGAGAACTGTTTAACCCACAATATGGGCTGTTTCAATACGCTAGCTCCGGTGACGACAGATATGCTTTACAGATCAATGCTGATTCAGGGGTAAATTGTTTTTTTTTTGTTTTCCTATAGATTTGTAATGGAAACTATAGTTGAAATGCTATATCTCTTTCTTCTGTCACTCATTTCCTTAAAATTACTTCAAATATATTTATCTTAGAACTACGAAAAAAATATCAATATAGTTTTAAGGTTAAAAAGGGAACCCTATTACCAAAACTTCACTGTCTGTCTGTCTGTCACCAGGCTTTATCTCATAAACAAAGATAGTTGGAATTTTCACAGATAATGTATTTCTGTTGCCTAAAACAAATATTCGATGGGGGCTCCCATTAACCAAACAAAATTTTTATGCTTGTTTCCAGTACGGAACCCTTCGTGCGCGAGTTTGACTCGCACTTGTCCGGTTCATTAAATTAAATATTTAGAATTAATAAATTTACGGTGCAATTCTTTCACCGTTACTAGTGTAGTCAATATGACTTCAAAGAATTCTATGGATATACGTTTCGATAATTTATGATGCAACAGAGGTAGGACCTGACACTATCTCTGATGAATAGATAATCTTCACAGATATGATTTCAATAAAATTACTTGAACGATTCGTAATTTTTCGAATTTTCGTTCGAACGCAGAGTAGTAGTAGGCTCTCTGTTCTGTTCTCCTTTTGAGTGTTTCGGAAATATAAGAAATAATATTTTTATTTACAAAAGAATAATAAAATTGTATTGCAATAGAAAATGTTTGTATGTTTCACAGGTGAATCCAGAACATTTGTCGTACTTCCATTTCGCCGGCCGCATTCTCGGCGTGGCGTTATTCCACGGCCACCAACTGGACGCAGCGTTCACTGCGCCCTTCTACAAACAGCTGTTGGGTCGCCCCATCACGCTGCGTGATATACGCGACGTCGATCCAGAATTACACCGCTCGCTCTCCTGGATGCTGTGAGTATCTCATTCTATCTATATAATTATTTTATCACGCTGGCTTGCTTAGACCAGTAGTTCTTAAATTGTGGTCCGAGGGCCTTATAAAATTACTACTATATAAAAATAACTTTTATATATAATATTATATATGTTTATTATTTATAGATACTGTTATATGTATTGACACCACACCTGACACCATGTTATATGTATTAAGCGTTTGATTGAAAATTGACAGTACCCTTTTTGCTTAAATGTATAATTATTTTATATCTACCCACAACAGATACATAAAACGTATCATGTGTCCATGTTTATATGTGGCTTTTGGTACCTTAAATAAAATAATAAAAAGAAGAAAGAACTCTCTCTGAAAGAACTGCCTTAGTCTGAAAGTGTCATACAGTATAGTTTTATTTACATAGGTCTTTCATTACTCTTCATACACATTCACCAACGTTTATAGCTAATAAGACGCATTTAATGTAATCATGAAAAGTTTTTCTTGAAAGCTTTTAGGTTTCTTCTTCTTCGATATTAAATTCTCAGTAATATTTATTTCTGCAATTTTAATTTGCTTAATATATTTTACAAAATCATCGCAACATGTTTTATCCAACTTATCGTTTTGTATGTATGGTATGGTTACAGAGAAAACAGCATCGCTGGTGTCATAGACACGACATTCTCAGTGGAATGCTCATCCTTCGGGGCGGTACGCAGCGTCGAGTTGCGACCGGGCGGCGCGAACGAAACAGTAACGGACACAAACAAACGCGACTACGTGAGACTGTACGTCGCCCATAGATTCACACGTGGCGCGGAACGGCAATGGTTGGCGTTACAGCGGGGACTGGCTGACATAATACCACCGCAGCTGTTACGGCCGCTGTCACCGCGCGACCTCCAACCTCTACTGGCGGGCCGCGCCGACCTCGACCCCGCTGATTGGAAGCGTCACACTCGTCTCAAACACGTCACTCCCGATGCACCGATAGTCGCCTGGTTCTGGGAAATTGTCGAGGAGTTTGACGCGGAGATGCGAGCGCGACTACTCCAATTCGTCACGGGCTCGAGGCGGGTGCCCCTCGCCGGCTTCAGAGCCCTACAAGGCTCCACCGGCGCCGCCGCCCCCCGCCTATTCACCCTCCACCTAGTCGCTGACGCATCACCAGACTCCTTACCCAAGGCCCACACCTGTTTTAATCGTCTAGATCTTCCACCGTATCCATGTAAAGAGAAATTCCATGATAAACTGAAGCAGGCGGTACTCGAAACAGCCGGGTTCGCTGTCGAATAACTTACGAACCTTGTGCATCTTATTAGGTTGTGTCTAGAGTAGTTCAGTAACGCTGCTGAAAATATACTCCTCTAGGTAATCAATATTCTTCTATGTAGAATATCCATAGAGTTATGAGCTTGTGATGTCGCGAAAAGATTGTGTTCGAAACATTTGTATTCTGTTGATAATCTGTTTACGAACACAATCAAGTTTTTCATTTTGAAAATGTGAATTACATTGCTGGTTGATGTTTATGTGCCAGTCACCGTTGTTGATGTCTTTGAGCCTTAAAAAATAATTAAACTGTATTGATATTGTAAATAGACATTGTGAAGTGCAAATTTTCAACTTTCGTTATTGTTTTGGTTTGTTACCAGGGTGTTCACCAAAAGCTTTCGACGATTGGAGTCTATTTCTTGTAACGATCATATTGCCAGCGGCATAGCTAGAATTACTGCATAGAAATTAGGCTTTCACCCTAGATCTAAACTTATTTTTATATTCGCAATATCATGTTTATGAAACTGAACGTGTCGTTAATAATTCCTATTATGGTTGATAATTATATTTTTACTATCGCTCTCTCAGTCTGTGAATTACGCGAGCTGCGCCCCTGCAAATCTCTTAACCTATCCATTAGTTGTGTTATAATGGAATTAGATTTTCATTTAGATAGCAAAAAATATATTTCTTAAATTTGTATTTTTTTCTTCGTTCAGTAAGCTTATTGAAGCACATTTGAATCGCTTTGACGGCACTAGAAATAATATAATTTTACAAATAAGGCCTGGAAATAGTTACTGATTGACTATTACTTGAAGAGAAATGGTTTTACAAGAAATAGAACATGATCTACCAAAACAATGCATTTGTGAGACTGAGAAATTCTAAAGCATGACAAAGTGATATTAAATAACCACAATTAGAATTCACATTTGATTATTTACCTATAATAATTCGATTTATTCACTTACTTTAATGGAGAATTTATTTCATTTTTCAATGGGTAGGATATTGAATCTGTTTAAAGTAGGTGTTGGTTGCACATTCAATCAATGCACTTTTGTTTTGTTTAGGTATATAATAAAGAAAATATTTACTTCACTGTTTTTTATATCACGCTCAAACGTTAAATATATAATTTTTTCATATGTAGTAAATTAATACGTCAATTCGAATATGTAGCATCATTATACATTCTTTTCATCTCACATTCCCAGTGAATGTGTTCATAGATATCTGTTTGTTAGTCTTCCGTATGAATTAATTTCTTGATTTTGTGTGATAATTAATTTATGATTCAGATGTTCATTTATATTGTGACACTATTGTGTAATATGTACAAAACATAATATATACATATATATATTTTCAGAGACGCAACATTTTACATTTCAGTACAAACAAAAGATTGGAGTTGCTGATTTTATATGTATAATGCTTAAATTTGTACATAAATATGGATCTTATTTATTAGATCAGTCGGATCAAGCAATTTGATATAATTGCTCATTCTGTTGGTGCCTTATAAAATCATATGTGTAAATAAATCAAATTCTTAAACAGTGATTTATTCAGATAAGTAAATCTATTTGTTGTATGTATAATTATTTATGACTGAATATTCCACTACTATATTCGACATTTATGTGTAAGATTATTGTGTAAAATGTATATAACAATGAAATGACCTGAATTAGATATGATATTATAACAAGCAGAGTGCCTTTTTAAGTCTTAAGTGTATTTACATTTAAGTTTAAAATTATGACTGTTTAGAAATAACGGTATTAGAGATAACACCATGTATTTAAAATTATAATTATTTTTTCATATACTATGCTCTTTTTTTAATGACTGTCATTTGAGCAGAACCATCCTTTTGGAAATTACTTGGTGAGGTCAGCGACCATCAAGATGGCAAATGCCACACTTCGGTTTTGAAATGAATTTTTAATCTATATTCCTTTATCAGTCCGTTACTAATTAGGGACAAAAAGCCAATTTACGTATTACGTTTTCAGAAAATAACTAGTCTTTGTGACGGCTCATTCGTCAAGGTCGTCAATGAGTGCTGCCAGTGGTGGTGAGTCTGCACTGGACTCCTTAATTTCGTCCATTTTTTATTATTATGAATATTGTACATATATTGATTGTGAGTATGTATGATTTCTGATATTGTAATGTAAAGTGTATTCAGTCTATTTAAGTCACATTCCAATAAGACTTCTCTGTGTGAAATAAAACAGGGAGAAAAAAGCAGCCTTTGCAGAGTTTCTTGCCGGTTCTTCTCAGTACAACATTTCCCGCCTTAGGGCGCTTATGCAGTATACTGAATTTTCAGGTCCGATTTTTTCCTGTCCGAAATGACATGAAAAACCCAGTTGAGTAGCTTGTGCACTTGTCCGTTTTTTTCCTGATCGGAGTGGCGCAGTTTAGGGCAGCTCTCTTTGCAGTCTCGACATTATTAGCGATACGATCGTAAAGTATCGAATGTCAAATATTAACGTAAATAATTTTTTGCAGTAACGATCGTGACTTCAAATGCAAGTCTCTATTACCGAGTTACCGAGCAAAATCGTGATCTATCAGACGATAACATATCGAAAATCTGTATTCATAGTGCAGTTCAAGTACAGTTTCCTAAAGTAGAATGTTGCCTCAGAAAAAAGTATATTAAATCTAAGGAAATCAGAACAACATATTTTGCTTTTACGTAATGATTTAATGTTCAATTTAGCAAATAAAAATATTTACTACAAAATGATTGTTTTTTATTTATTCTATAAGTATAATTTATTATTAAATGTGTTAAATCAATTCGATTATTATTGGTAATTAAAATTTCTTTCCTTGAGACATCTTGATGTCATCGATATGTCAAAACATTATTGTTTATCACGGTAAGCTGTTTCGTGAACAACTTCATTGAAAAAAAAATGTGTTGTGAGTCATGGTGGTGGATTCAGATGCGGAATCGCACGTGTAGCTGGCTCCACGTGCTCAAAATATTGCTAAGTACGCACCATTTTGAAGTTAATGAATACTAATGTAAGACTTTAATGTTATTGTTTCTGTGCATACGTAAACATACGCTCAACCCTAGCTATGAGTAGTCAAGTGGACGCTTTGTTAGCCAAATTAGAATCAAACACTTTTATGGCCACAAGGCGGTTCACCGGACTACAAAGTCGCGAGAATTTTGACGCGGCGTGGAAAGATTTGGCTGAGGAGTTAAACCGTCATCATAGCGGGTCAACAAAAACGCCAGATCAGTGGATGACGGTAAATTTTGTTCATTATTGTTAAGTTCAATATTAGCTCTAGTCTTTTGTATATTAAAAAAGGTAGGTAATCTTGAATTTCAGGTTTGGCGAGATCTAAAAAGTAGAGCCTGCACAAGGGCAGCAAAATTAAAAAAGAAAAGGCTCAACCAGGAAATTAGGACATCGATACCCTTCCTCTGACTGAAGCGGAATGGCGAATTGTGTCATTAGTCGGGGCATATTATACTGTGGGTAATTGCCCTAACTCAATGCCAGAAATAGTGGTAAGTTTAGAATTATAGATCTACCCTTTTCCAAAAAAATCATTAAACTTAATCCCTAATCCAAAAATATATTAATATTTCTTTATTGATAATTCAAGTCGCTACGGTACGTTCTTGACTTCTCCGTGATAGATAACCCTTCCGGTTTTCTTTCAAGTTGAAAAGTAAATTAGTTTTCAAAACTTAATAAACAATTCATATTCTATTTGTACTTTTTCGTATTTGTATTAATATCTAATTTTCGAACATTTCTAATTTCATTTTTTTAATATGTTAAAAGGAACGGAAATGACTGTCTTTGGTCCATTTGTTTCCTTGCAAAAATCAACTTTTGCTAGAGAAGCCATCAAGTGGAGGTGTTCAGTGTAGTGCACAAGCGCCGTTAGTTTTGCGAACCGTTGGCAAAGTTTTCGACTTTCACAAGTACTATGGATTTTATATCAATATAATTCGTCGAGTGGATGCATAACGGCACATAAGAAAAACAAGCTGAATTCTGCTCTCCGCTTTTTGTTCTTGATTCCAAACCTGAATTTGGATGAATCGAGTGAAGTTACGAGTAACCAATAAGGTGGCTTGTATTGAACCTATCATCGTTCCTTTGCACGTAACCTAATAAATAACTTAAACTTACCATTCAAATAAATTAAAATTAATTTGAAAGTTAGATATTAAAAAAGACACGTAACGTGTCATATATAATTATTAATTTTCGATACTCAGTTTACTTTTATTACGCCAGAAACAAAATTTGAATGAATATCATAGACAATGAGGAAGTATTTTAAGAGAAAAATGAAAGCACTAAAAAGAACCTCACATGATGGCGACTCTATCAAAAGTTGATTTTTGCAGGAAACGAATAAACCAAAGATAGTTATTTCCGTTCCTTTTAACTAACATATTAAAAAAACTGGAATTTGCAAAGTTTGAATCTTAGATATCAATACATATACGAAAAAGTTCACATAGAATATGAGTTGTTTATTGAGTTTTGAAAATTAATTTACATTTATACTTGAAAGAAAACCGGAATGATTGTCATGGAGAAATCAAAAAAGTACCGTAGCGACAGATAGTTTGATTTCGGAAACTAATGTTTTTTTAATTCTTCCTCACTATCCGAACATCGCTAGTGACGTCTTGTTTCATTTCAGAAACTAATATTTATTTTTTAAATTATTCCTCATTCAATAGGGTATTTGACGCTTTTCTGAAAAATATTTTAAATGGTTCTTCGATACATTATAAACACACTGTCAGTATATTTCATGTGAATCTGTTCTATTTTTGATATCATAAACAAAATCCAAACATCGCGAGTGACATCTAAGTAATATGATTTGAAGAACAATTTTATATTTTTCAAATACTTCCTCATTATATTCTCTTTGGTCTCATGAATTGATATATAGATCCTACAATTTGAGCTACCATATAGTGACTTAAAATTTTGTAGTTTTTTTTATATTTTTAAATACTTCCTCATTACAACAAAAATAAATATTTTTCACACATACTGATAGATGACACTTTCATAAATTTATTTTTATATTATTTTGAATTTCGAAGAAAAAAGCGTTGAATGCCATGTGTATAATTTCAACAGTTTCTAATGTAATATTACATGTGAAAATGCCATTTGGGTGTTAAAATTTGGACAATTTATATTTACTCTAGTTTTCATTTCGATATGCTTTTTTTTATATCCATATTGCTGTTTCTTCGATAACTTGGTGGTAACATATCGACTATCTGATATATCGATTATCGGTGCATTCTCCTACATCTTGTCACTAGCCATACGTACTTTGTGCTCATCACTAGTTTATTTGTGCCTGTGCCTGTGTTTGTGCCTTCAGTGTGTGTGGCATGTTGTCCGTCTGTTAATAATCCAAGCTTTTTTTAAATCACATTTTATCGCTTCACCAAGAATTATAATTGTCACTTTAGTGTAAGTTTATTTGAAACAATATATTACATTTTCGGCAGCGGATAGAGTCATACGCCCTACGCTGTAATTTGTCAACCTGAACTGTGAATATGTTTTATTTTTGAACAGTTTCTCGCTTTGTTCTAATAAGACATGTTAACTTTTGTTTTTTAATATATGATAAGCATTATTGCAAGTGTGTGGTGTCGTGTATTGCCGTTATTTTGAGTCCATCATGCCGACAAGTGCAGTGTATCAACCTACTACAGTAACATACGAACAACAACCGAATGACCAACGATGGAATTGTCCTATGAGTTACTTCTCACGACGTGTGACGAGTAGTCTCAATAGGACAAATTGCATAAGAATCGGCTTATGTCTCCTGGGCAGCATACTTTTCATTATTGGTGAGTTTAATGCTTGTTAAGATGTGCTTGTAACCAGCAGGATCACTATAATTAATTCCCATAAAATACCGCTATGGTATTTTCCTGACCAGAGTTAACTGAAAATTAAAATGAAACTAATTTCAAAACACAGAATGTCTTCATTAATTCATTGACAAGCAATATGAAACAAGAGGGTGAAACTCATGCTTCATTGATGTGAGTAGCAATGTGTTAAATACTTACCCAGAGTATGATATTCTAAAACTGAAAATATGTTTAAACTTACTCTAAGTATTATATGCATAATTATGATAGATGTTAAGCTGACTTCCTATTCAGTTCCAGCTGACTACATAATATTTAGAATATAAGCTAACCCTGCAAAAAGCCATCATTTCACGTAATTAAAGTGTTAGGTATAAGGGAATAAAACTTGGGGGTGAGAGATCTGGTAATTGGCCACAGGTTCCCAGGTCTTATCTAAATCAAAAAAAGGTGTAATGTAAATAAGGTCAACTTTAGGTACTGAATTGTTGATGATTTCACTAAATCCATTTTAAATTGTAGTGCTGTATTTTCATAAATAAATTAATTTTATTATTCCAATAAGTTTCATTAATCTAGTTACAACTAAATTGACTGTCAATATAAAAGCCGTATGGAAAACTTGAAAATTAGGCTTACAAGTCTTAATGAGATCCTAATTTCATACATTGCTCCTTCAAATCTGGCAGGCTTTAAATCATCAAAATATAAATTAAGAATTAGTGCTGCAAATTAGGGTAAGTGTACCATAACAAACCGATAAAGTAATATTTCCAAAGAAGTTTTGAAGATGTGACTCAATTATTGTTACACTATGATCATTTTAAAACAAAAAAATCTATTTGATCAATTTGGCATTCACAATGCTATACTGAAATATATTCTTAATACAAAATGCTTAATAAAATCCACTTGGTCCCTGGCACCCTGAGATAAGAATCTGTTTTAATTATTATATTTGATCAAATTTCTTTATCAAAAGTTCCAATATTTGGTAATATTTCTTTGATTTTGTGCCAGTGTGCCAGTGAACCATTAAATAAAGGCAATGCTTTTAACAATAATGAAAAATTTAATTTCAATTTCAATAAACATTAACATCATTAAGTAATCCTAGTATGTTCATGTAATCCTTAAATGTTGTTTCTCTAATTTGTCATTTCATGACATCTTCCTTATATTTGATAACAGTTCAACTAATTCATTACATTTCAAAAAAGTCAACCATACAAAAACTACTGCAACAAATATTGATATCGCAGTTCTATATTCCTTTTTCTTGCTGTGCATTGATGCTTTAAGCGGGGTTAATTACTGACTACGAAATTGAGACAAGTCATTCCTGGCCTAGTGTAATAAAACTGCAAAGATGTCACCACAAATACTGACTCATGATTGACCCTGTATAAACAGTGCAGTTAGTTTAAGGCATTTACAGCTAATGGTAAACAGGGTCGCATGGTATAGCACCCTATGAATTGTTTACATGGCAGTAGACAGGTCAGTGCTGTAATGCTGTTTACTGCTCAAACAGCACTGACTCGCTTACTGGATTGTCTCGGTTATTGGCCACGTGTGAAGGGAATAGACCATAAGGCCGTTAATGCATTAAACATATCAGTTGAAACCATGTCATTTATGAATGTAAAGTAGAAAAATATTTATTTTTGTATATTTTTAATTCAAAAAGCTATATTATATTATTTATTTTAATAAGCTAACAGTTGTATTATAGTTTATCGAAACCATAATTTATACAGATTTGGAGACTGAGTCACCTTGACAAGACATGTTTTTCTTGTATAAAAGGCGAAGCCTACGAACAAGGCAGGGCAATATACTTTTTAACGTTAATGTAAAACTGATTCTCGTAAAATCGCAATGTCGGGAAAGGTTGTATTCAAAAGTAAACCAAAGTATATTAGGGTAGAGAAGATTTATATGACGAAACCGCTGGCGGAAAATGTTAACAGTTATAATAACATATCAACAAAATGGTGATAAAAGAATGTAGACAATTTTTTTAACATTCGAATAAGGTACAATCCCATTGATTGATATAAAATAAAAATAAAAGGTAAAAGTAAATAAATTATCGCAATTTTTGTAGATATGTAGCGTGTTTAAATATTACATTTCGATCGTACGTATTGGTTACACTCATTCGGTGGCTATCGAGTAGCAGACAAACCACAACGTGGTGGTGAGAGGCGCGCGGAGGGCAGCGTGGAGGCCGGGGCCGTTGCGTGGTCCTTAGGGCGAACACAAACTATCGGAAGCGGCCATTCGTCGGAAAAAGTTACGGAAACGAAAATGTTTGATATGACATTTTAAAATATTAAAAATTTTAAGCGACTGACGTTTGTACAACTGGCTTTAACTCTAGTGACTGGACTAAAATCACTAATTTCGATATCATTTTATTAAAGAATTAATCCAAATAAACTAATCGATAATAAGGATACAACAACATGCTTAGGAACACTAAAACGAGTATCTCTTAAAATTTATTGATAGGGTAAAATTATAAAGTTATCGAAATTCTACTCAAGCATATTTATTTTTCTACCGCACCTATCTCTCATGCCTTTTTTATAGTGTTAAGCAGGGTTCGCTGATATAATATTTATTGTTAGTTTGAGTTTTGACTTTTGAGCTGCCAACATTGGCCCAAATTAGCAATCTTACTAGAAATTTCAGATTTTAACTTGTAATATAAACGCGAAGTATGGTTAATTTTTTTTTATTTATTGTAAGAACTTGGAAAGGATATTTTTTATACATCCGCAAAAGTAATTATGAAATGAGAGACATTAGATATATTTATTTTTAATGAAATAAGGTTTATTTATTTTGGAAATCATAATAGCAGTTGCTATTTTAGCTTAGAGTATTAAACCTACTATTTTAATCAACCATAACAAGTAACAACAAAACTTTATAATAACGATCAAAAACATAACAAAAGTTGTGTACGATCTCAACACAACCCAACTCAGTAAGTGTACTTGTAATCTGTACTCTCTCTAGGATCATTGGTTGCGCGCGACCGACAGACGCGTTCATTATCGTTAGTTTGTATCCGCCTTTCTCGCGCGGTTTATGACTCATCGGACGGCTGTGATGTCGTGATCTGACTTATCACCGTTTCAAACCTGTGTACGCACGGACCGAAGTACCTATGAGTCACAAGTCTTTCATTGATACTTTTATGACAATCTTAGAACTTATTGGAATTGGTGGTATTCGTTTTGATTTTATAATCGGAAACGAATGTGTTTCACAGTTGATTTAATTGAAATTTAAGACATTGGTACACAATTTTTAAATTACACATGTAAATCGGTGGCGTAAAGTAGCGTAAATAAATTAATTTCAAATATGGAGTGCCCCGTATAAATATTTGAAGTTTTCACCTCAATATTATCAGTTATACAAATTTCATTAAAAAGTGAGTTTCCATTTGAACCAATAGGGATAATGAGTAATTTTTGTATGTCTGTCCGTCGGGTAGATTATTGAAGAATATTTACACACGTATTTTGTATTTTTTAAATTACGGCTATACATTGACCTGATATGGCGCATGACGTCACATCTTGGTACATTTTCTACATAGAGATGTGTCGTAGCGAGCCCCCCACTCCTCAACTTTAATGTCTATTATATAAGCCGTATCTTGTTAAATTTAAGTAAAAAAATCGTATTTTATATTTTTCTATATCTCACTAACGAACTAAATAGGATTTCTTTATTTTAAATGATCAATTTTACGTTCACAATGCAATACTGAAAAATATTCTAAATTAAAAATGCTTAAAAACTACTTTGTCCCTGGCACTCTGAGTTTTTTTTTTAACTAGGTATCATCCCTAATGTGAAGTGGATAATTTTATACCATTGGACTTAATTGAACCAATCGAGTCTCAAGGCTTTGTTAAAGTAGATATTTAAGTAAGTGAATAGTCAAAATTATAATTACTGTGACAATTCTCAGAGACGACGTGAAGCGGTGGCACACGCCACCACCCACGACCTCGCGGTGCAAAGGAAGGACCTCGCGTACCGACTCAAAGCCGTAATTAGTTAAAATAGTTTCAAATGTAAACGTGCAACTTGCAGTTTTTTTGTTACAAAAACGCAACAAAAATACTTGAAATAAAATAATATACAAAGTGCATTCTATGTAAAATGATGATTTTCTTCGATTTTATTTTGATTATAGGTACTTTTTTTTAAATATCTTGACATTTTCGAAAAGGCTCTTTTGCGCCATTATTATGACCTCGCAAAATGTCCACATTTTAATTTTGATCTTGCTCCGCCACTGTCTGTTATTCGTTAATGTTTATTCTGAAACCTACGACTGTTTTTAAATCGAACGTTAACATAATGTGTGGGTTTTAATGGAGGTTAGTTTGATGTTAGTGAAAGCGGACTATAATGAATCACTAATGCCTTTGCTACCCACTGGCTAACCTACCGTTTCCGCTGCAGTGCCCTATTTTCGCAACTCCCCAGAGTTCTTTCATTGTTTACTCCTACGTCTTCAATGTTGAACCGAATACATTCGAAATAGCATTAAAATTACATACATTGACTTTGTTATGTAATCACTCTAATATTCTGGAACGAATCATTGATCGTACGGTAATTAATTAATATTAGAACGATCGTAAACGATCCAATAGATTTCCTTCGGGTCCAAATTTGAAGATGATATGTGATGAAAAATTTTGTGTCAATGTTCAGAACATTTTAAGTCCATTTCTTTTGTCAGTTTATAATATTAATTGCTTTTACATTTTTTTTTTTGGTCTAAATAATATGATTTTCCTTCGAGTTTTTTCTACGTTATGTAAACTTTAAGAACTAGCCTTATTGACATAAGAAGCGTTCTTCGTGTCGTGTGGATTTAAATACGAATAGGTTATTATTGCGCAGTAGTTGTTCCAGAGTTTCTTTTATGAATCGAACGACCTACAAGTACATTAGTAACCGTGACTCCTCAAAGATACAATTCCGTTGAATGATTTATTTGTAATTTATGAATTAGACATCACTGTTATAATAGTGGTTTCTTTGAAGCTATTTCAAATAAGATTTACTTATTCGTCATCTTATTAACGAAATATACATTACTTTAAGATGGTTAGCGTTATATAATTATACATACAATCATGTTATATTCATAGTCTAGTCGTAATTGCTGTTACAATAAAGAATGATCTCATTACATTTGAATAACAGAACGTTCTTCCGTAAACCGAAATAGCATGTTGCTTTCTCATCCTATAAATTGTATTAAATATATCTAACAATAAGATAAATTGTATTAAAATTCTATGCTGATTTAGGAAACATTGCTCATTGCTGACAATTGATACAAATCATACAGATCGTGAATGTATTTATATGTTTTTTGTTATTATTTTAAACTTTTGACAACTACATGATCCACCTACGGTTTTAGTTTTATTAAAACTTGAGTTTACTCGTTCTTAGGTTTACCTTCATTAGTATCACAACGATAAGGATGAAAAGCCAATTTCCACGTTCAGAAAGATAGTAGGTGTATTTATATTTTCACACCAGCTCTCATGGTACTAAGGATGAAATTAACGCCACATTAGAATAAAAAGATATTCGATAATGTCAAAATGTCCCAGAGAAGCATAGCTAACACACACCCGACACGTCACATACTGTCTTAAGGATATTGGGTTATGTATTTATCTGTTTTTAATTTTGTATTTCTATTATGCCGTATGGTAAGTGTATGGTAAACATAACTCTAAACTACTCCATAATGTCTGTAACCGGTGACTATAGACTAGTTTACTAGAGACAATGTTTTGAATTCGCCTTGTGTTTACTATCTTGAAATGATATCTGATAGAATGGATAGAGATACTGAATTATAAAACTATTTTATTGATTACTATATTTACTACATTTATCAATTACGGTAATCTCCGAGCCAGTGTGACTTGGTGCCAAGAACGTATATTGTTTGGCATTAGCTTTACTCATAAAATGCCAAATGTATCGAGTCTGTCATACTTAAATCGTGAAATAGTGTATACCAACATGTTCTTATTGATTGTTCTATAAATTAATAATGACCACTTTGATCAGACCCACACATAGGTAATTGCAGATAATCAGGTAGTTCATTGCACTGTTTTGTTCGAAGTCTGGTGGGCTACGTAGGTGGTGCAAAATTTTCATTGTTCTTTTAAAAAATATGTTGAGTTATATATGTAGTAGTAATCAATCATTGTAAATAAATAAATATAAAATAGAAGTTCCATGATTATATTTGATCAACTTTGCATTAACTATTTAAGAAGAATATTTTTCGGTATAGCATTGTGAATGCAAAATTAATCTAATTTATTAGAACAAATTTTCATCATTATCGAAAGTTTAAATATTTGTAAAAATATTGCTTTCGGATGTTTGGTCTCACCTGAACATTGATGAAAATACGCTCTGTGGTAGTGAAAAAACAACAAGTGCTTGAAAAATTCAAAAAAAAAATCTCAGTCCTGTTAGGTCCTGAGTACTCTGGTAACTTAATTCTAATAGTGGAGGTGGTTGGCGCAATGAAAAAATCTGGTAGAACTCCTCAGTCTTGATTTATTTTCAATTAGTATTACATTAGCACACTTACAACCAGCAAAACACGCGAATTCGAATAAAAAAATAATAATTTAAAATATTGACGGCCAGCACTTGACTCCGAAGAGTAAACCCTACCTATAGTAATATGCACGGACGTTACAGTACCTCAGTGGTTAGAGCATTCACCCGGATTGCGAAATGTCACGGGTTCAAGTCCCATCTTAGAGTGCTAGGAAGAAGTGTTTTTAAGCATTTTTCATTAAGAATGTAGGAGTTCCATTTTTATATTCAGTAGGTTCACCTAGTTAAGTTATAAAACTACTAAAATAGATGACAACTTTTTAAATTCGTTGGAGTATTATTATTGGTACTCTTACGAGACGCAAGATTGTCTAAACCAGAGAAGCCCAAACTCAAATAGCCTAAAAAGGCTGGATACCTCTTTTCAAATATGAACTGATACCTAAGATACGCGTAATCCAATTAAGATCCTATATTTGTTTGATTCAAAATACTTAAAACATTTTAAAATAAAAACTGTTCTAGGTCAAGCAAGTAAATGTGATAACATTTTTTCATAAAAAAAGATGTCTAAAATAATAAAGGTCAATCTATAGTCGAGTAGAAGTTATTACTTAAGTTATTAAAACTAAGCAAATATTTTTCACAATTAAGCACGAATTTTAAGGAAGTGAGAACTCTTAGTAGTTAAAATACTATTATTATTAGTTATTGGCATGGCTGTTCTTGTTTTATTTTAAACCAGTATCTAGGTAAAAACATTTGCTTAAGTTATTAATTATACATACTCTAGTAAGTTCTTCTACTCGACTATAGATACGGATGTTAGTTTTTCTTTGCATAGCAGAAAAAACTTTTTAACGATTAACTCGTCCACGGGGTCGTTGCTTAATTCACACTAGTTCTAAGAGAATAATATATTTATTATGTAGCAATGAACTTATATTTAAATGTGTAAGTAAGTAATTAAAATGTGTGTTACAGGTGGACGATATTGACCACTTTGGGAATCCCTGGTCTAAATGTACTTTTTTTTTAAATTATTAGTTTTGTTACCACACATGTAAGATATACCATGAATATTTTTTAATGTTTTATTTGTATTTGTATCCAGGTCTAGCGCTGGCTATAGCGGGAGGTGTCCAATACTCGAGTGCGTCGCCATCGGACTCGCCTGAAACCCCAGAATGTGGACTCCGCACTTTAATAGCCGGTGGAGTCACACTTTGTTTGGGTCTACTTTTTGCTGGTAAGTACCCTACGTATAAATCCTTGTTGAATGTTCTTTTTTAAATTTAACTAATTCCATTACAATTTAACATGGATGACTAAATGACTATCATTGCTACCGCATAATTTTTTGTAGACTTACCTTAGTATTTTAAATTCGGATTTTCTATTTTTCATTACAATTTTTAATCTAACCTGTCGTTCTCAAATGACGCATACTTTAAAATACAGGCATAGTTTGATTAATTCCTTTGAAAACTAAAATTGAATCGTTTTAGTTAGTTGAAACAGTTTTTTTTTCTTATAAATTCGATTGTGTAATAAATGGCATGCTGATGGTCCTTTGTATGATTCGCATCCAATTTTACGCTTTGATAGAGGGCTGGTGAGTGAGAGCCAACTTTCCAAATAATTTGTCGCTGTTGCGTAACGCAAGCGACTAGTATGAAAGTTTAAAGGATGCTGTGTCTGTGTATAATACTCGTACTATGCGTGCGTTCATACTTTTATTCTGTATAATATATATGTATCTATGTCTATGTATTATAGGTATAATATATAATATAAATATAAAATGTTGGTTGGTATTGAAATACTCAAACGAATAATTATGATATTTTGAAGGTCCCGCTGGTATGTTATATTTGCTGTTTTTAAACTTTCTTGATTTTTACTTGTTAGAGTTTTGTTTTGTACTTCAAATGCATACGCGCATCAGTGTATTTTTAACCGAATCCAAAAAAGGAGGAGATTATATGTTTGAGGGCAATGTTTTTTTTATGTACACCGATTTTTCCGAAATTGTTAACGGATTTTCAAAATATTTTTTTTATTTTATTAATTTTACCCTCTACAATCAAATCCCGTATTAAACTTTTAATGTTAATTACCATGAAAATTTAAAACAGCGGAGTTAGAAACTAACTCTATAATATTAGTTTACATTATGTTTATATCCTATTTTCCTCTGTGATCAGTGGTTATGTAGCTACCTAACTCCACTTATTGTAAATAATAACTATTTCCTTGCCCAGACTTAGGTTTTAAAATTGCATAACCACTTTGGGCGGCTCGTATCACATCAAATTAATAGTCAATTCTATACTAAGCGAATTATATGAAGTCATTATGAAGTATTATTGCACGTGTTTTGATTATAGTATTGTTCATACATATGAGCCCGATAATCTTAGCATAATGACTTTTAGGAAACTGTGTAGGTAGATATGTGGTAACATTTAAGAACTAAAAGACTCATTGTGTCTGGCAATGGGTTAGGGCCAGAAAATTATTATGGTTATTATAAACTAGCTGTTTTCTCGCGACTTCATCGCGACATTAATTACACCCGATGTCACCCGCGTATGTAACAGGTGATGTAGCTTCTTAAAGAAATTTCATGATCGGATTTCCGAAGATAACCCTTGGGGGATTATCTTCGGAAATAGTTAGTAGTATAGAATTGGAAATAGTTAAAACAAAGTTAGTATAGAAGCGTTGCATTGCATAAAGCCCTCGGCTACAAATTGACTAACATATTTATCAATTTTTATTATTAAAAAAAAGATAATTACAATAAGAATAGTAACGAATTTTATTAACTAGGGGGTAGTTTTGCTATCAAGATATATAATGGAGTTTTCTTATTTTTAGAGCTTATTTGGACGTTATTTGTTGTATAAAATCATTTGAAATATACTTATTTACTCATTTTTGGTGTACTCTTTCTCTCTTCTCTAGTAGGTGGATCGTGGTCAACATCAGAGTTACACCTCCGGTGTAAAATGTCTCTTCCCGGTGTAAAATTTAGAATTTGTTGAGTGTTTGACCTGATCGGTCCATCCTGTTGTTGAACGTTCGCGTGATTTTTTGCCTGTGGTGCTTCCCACAACAATTAAGTTTTTCCAGACTTGTCGCTTCTGCGCGGTGGTCAAACAAAATATTGCAAGTGTGCGTTGTTGACAAATGGTGGAGTGTTAATTTCGCAGTCTTCTCAGTACTCGCCACGATTTTTATCGTGCCAGGGGGCTGTCCATTTTTCCACTCCATACAGGAAGATAAGGAATACCAGGTACCACGTATCACTCTTATCTTATCATTATTGACTTTGATGCCAATTCTTCTTTTGGTGCACCCCTTTAATTTTGGTTTTACCACATTTTCTCTTTTCTATAGGCGTACCTAATAAAGTTTTTATTTGGATATAGTGATTAATACGTGGACCTTGTCTCTATATTTATCTGCACTTCCTAGTATCAGCCGCGTAAATCTTTTCGTGCGCTGTTGTAATTTAGCGTCTCATCGCTAACCTTTGACCTTTTTTCTATCAAGGCACTATTTTCTGAAACCATTCGTGATATATAATTACACAGACTGCTGGCTGCTATTTATTATGTTACCTAGATACGCAATACGTCTGTAGAAATTGAATATTTTGTTACCTAACCCAGTGTTAATTATAATACACTTCAAGTACAAATCACGTTTTAGCAAATATTTGAGGTAAATTTGTTGTCAACAAGGTAAGGTACAACTTGTGTAAAATTCTCAAATAATTGTGCGAGGTGATTAGTAAGCAGTTGCCATGCCGATTGTTATTCATTCGCTTCAAGATTACCATAAACGATGAATGAATTGATTTGAGGTGATATTAATTAAGACGTTTATAAGACTGTAATTATATAATGGTAACGGTTTATTTATATGGTACTCGTATATAAAGTTAATAGTAGCATTATCCCTCCATTGACACAACATAACTCTGTCACATAATGAATTAATAATTATTAACTATTATCGTTTCCTCGATTACCTACTACAATACGCATTTATATACACAGCGCTTCGGTTATGGTGTAGAATTTTAAGATATGGTATGCACTATGGACTCTACTACGCCTGATGGAGTTTCCGTTTTGAACGGAAACTAAATTATAAATGCCGCTCCGCTGTGCCTGGTAAGGTGATGAACGGTAGTAATGTTGTTGTGACTTGTGTCTGATCATTTATGAAACGTGCTAGAAGATAACTATATTTTCATAGTGAAGCATTTTTATACCAACACATTAGTCATTCTTTAGTTGATAATGCGAAAACAGTTATACACATGCTTATACAGTAGTAGGTATCATGAAAGTATCAAATACGATCCTATATCGAAATTGGTGACCTTTACACGTAAAGAGACAGCAACAATTTTTTTTTCAAGGAAATAAACCAAAAAAAATAAATTATAAGTTGTCTTGTATCTACTCGAGCACCTAAGTCGTCAATGTACATATATAAAAAGTCCCAAAATTCAAACAATCTCATTGTTTATATCTTAATTCTAATATATAAAAACTCCTCGATTCCAACTTACTAAATTGATTGTATCCCTTGACACATCTATTATGACCAAAGAGCTGCTATAACGCTGGGCATTTGCCTAACGCTGGGCATTACGCAAAAGCCCAGCGTTAGGTGCCGCACAATGCACAATATTCCTCGCCCTCTTAATAGCAAGTTTGTTCTCCAGTCAATTAGTGATGCTTCTGTAGTTAAATCTCTAACTAAATTTTTCACTATTAATCAATTAAAACTTTACCATCAGTGGTGTTATCTTTCGCTCACTTTTTTTAACACAATTAATTAATTTAATAATGGTCTGTGGTAAGACTCAATATGATTATGTTTAAATTAATTGTTTATATAAAATTATTTCTTAATTAACGTATTAAAATCGTTTAACGTGTTGTTTTTGGTAAATCTATGTAGAAAGATAGAATTGGTAATTCAAAATTGTTTGGTTGAATGAATGTATTTTAATCGTGTAATGGTCTCCTACGTGAAGTTGGCAGTAATGTGGTGACGTAAAATGCCATTAAAGTTAAGAAGAATACATGTCCTAACTTTAAGCGTTGCCCAAATATTAAGGTGTCAGATATGGGCGACTCCTAAGTGTATAAGTGTACTACTTGATTTAATGCGTCCGTGTCGCCCCTTTATATTGTGTACTTAGCGCATTAATAAGCACGCTTATTTTTCTTAGCATTTAGTCTTCAGCGTGTTAATATATTTTAGTCGTCTTGAACAACTCTGTCGTCCTGGGGTATAGATTTTGCCCTCGAGGGGTAAATGGTTACGTACACTGGCGATCAATCCGATTTTATGCTATTCCTATAGCATCATTATTAGGTATTGCTTTTACCTGTATAGGTACCTAATGTGTTTAACTTAATATTAGTGTGATGCTAACCTCCAATGCTGCTGCTAACTCAGCTTTAGTATGTGTATTTATTACCAAATAGATCAAACTTTTTAGCAGGGAATCGTTGAAATTTATACCGGGCTATATGTTTACTTCGGTTTGCATCGGGTTATTACAACGACAGAAATATTGCATACTTAACATCTGGAAAGAAGCAAGAGGTTTAACTATAAGTTTAATAAGTGAATTTGTCGACCCTTCTCTTAAGCCAGTGCCCCTGCAGTGAGGATGTGGACTCTTATCCGCCGCTACGCCACCGAGCTCCCCTATATCACTTTTATTATATTTTCACAGGAATAGGCGGTTGGGCGTGGACATCTAGGTGGGGTGGTGGCAAGGAAGCTCCGTCGAGCGGAGCCGCGGCTCTCACTGCGCTGAATCCATCCACCGACCCTCTAGTGGCGGCACAGTACGCGCCAGTAAGAGATGCACCACCAGCACCCGATGATGAGATGCGCAACCTCATGGACAATAAGGAATGGTGTGTACTATGGATTAGGTTTATTTTAGTACTAGCAGTCGTCCCGCGACTTCGCACGCGTAGTAACACGCGTGTACTTATATTTTTCCAAATCTTTTTTCCGTATAAATTGACTTTGGAACACGTTATTTATGACCTTGTATATTTTTAAGAATTATTATTCGAAAAAAAAAGCTTTTCTGCTCTGAAGAAGATTTGGTTTTGCGGGTAACTACTTAATTATACTTAATCAAAGCCACGACAATTTGGTTCTGCTTAACTAATTTCTTAAAAGGGGTATTTAGAAATTTGTCTGTCGATATTTTATTAACACTTGTTAATTACGTAAGGTTGTCTCATTTCGTACTTTATACTTGTTTATGCTCGCGCTCTAACGTAACACCAGACCATTATGTCAAGTCTCAGGTGGTGTTAAAGTTCATGCGGTAAACGCCATTGTCTCGTGTCATGTTTATTTAACGTTTCCCTATTTCCAGCTTATAGTGTGTTAGCTATAAAATATATTCGTCGTTCAGTAGCTAAATAATATTCTTTTGTTTCAGTTTAAGTAGTGCCGAAGAAAGTGACAAAATGCTAGACGGACGACCGTCTGTGGCGTAAAAATCTACAACAGTACATCACAATACCACGAGCTTAGGCTAGTCTAAAGTTTACTCCCTAAAAGTCATCGTAGCTCTTAACCACACGGCATCTGATCCCTATATCATCGTATCTTTACTCGACGTTTACTTGTCAATAACTCTCTCATCTGTCACCCTTGATGAAGAACTTAGAAATAATCAGTCATTCTAATATTAACGGCCCGTGAGTGATCTAGCAAACAGCGTCCATAAAAAAAATTAACTGCTCCAAGAGCGGTAATCATATGCCGGGTCGCTTTAAAGAGCTACGCATGATCTCACATTGAATAGCATGATCGAGCAGTACCGATTCTAACGGTGGGCATAAAATTTGTAAACTTTATTTATATGGTGAAACTTTATCGATAATTAATCTAATATTTGAGTGCTGCTCTATCGTGTTGATGTCTATAATATATAAAGGGTTGCATTTGAAGGTACAAAGTATCAAAAGGTCTCAATAAACGTATAACGCAGGCAAAAGACGCATAGGTATTTATTAAGAAAAATATTTACGTATCAAGTAAAAACTAATGCTTAATGTCGATAAATATTATTCATTTGCTGATGCTAATGCTTCTTTTTTTTTAAAAAAAAAACGAAAGTATTTATTATATTCTGAGCACAAACATCACAGAATTATGCACTTTGCATGTTGTATAATAAAAATTATTTTATTTTTATATCACACCTTAGGTGTATCTTTATTTGCAATATATATGCTTTGGTAATATTTGTCTTAATTAATTAATTAAACTAATTAGTAAAAGACAAGTGGCCAAATTATCGTCCAGATTAGAATTAGGATTTATTGTGGATATTATAATATATGCACAGTTTTGAGAAGTACTATATTTTCCCCTGATTAAATTATTTATCTATGTTTATATTAATAATATAACAGGAAATGATAATTAATTATTAGATTATAAACGTTAATAAAATACGAATAACGTATTCTTATTTAAGTTTTTGTTTTTCATTTCAATATGAATTAATAAAATTTGGTAGGGTTGTGCTCAAAGTTGTGTTAGCATAGCCCTTTGTCACAGTTTATCCATTTTATGTATGTTTTTTAAAAAAAGCTTATTAATTTTATTTTGATACCGTCCTATATGTAGTTTTAAGAAAATGAAAGTACTTGTAATCCTAGTATTTAAACAATTTAAAGTAAGATCATTATTATGTGTGATAAACTGGTTTAATATTACGTTTAACAGTAGATTAAATGGCATTTACTTAAATATTAGCAATTGTTAAAAAATAAAATTCACATAGACAGAAATCGGTAAATGTCTTGATGTCAAGTCCGACTTTTGCTATTTTCTTGGAATGCAATAATGGATAAGCTCTCTTCTTCATCAACAAATATTTTATTATTGATGTCATTAATTAAGATTAATGAACTGGGTACAATATATTAATTTTATATTTGGGTATGTATTATATATACCCATTTAAAGTATTTTTGGTTGGAGGACTTTACGCAATATTTTCTGAGTAATACTAAACAATTAAAAAATTATGAAAGTTGTATCACATTTATTAAGCATCAAGTAATTATTTTGTTTAACTTCAACTGAGTGTAGCCAACCTATATACAAAAAGAAAACTGTAAGGTCGAGTACATAACGGATTACTATGCAGTACTAACATTAGTGGGCTATAGAAGGAACGCAACTAATAAGAGTTGTGATAGAGATAGACCGAAAGATATTTTCCAAGGGAACTTATACCATTTCAGTGTCGTTAGCCATAACAAAGGAAGCGATTATAAAAAGTATTACCTCAATGGATTTTTAATTAAAAAATATATTTTAAATGCCTTCTCTTAATCTTTTTCTCTATTTATACTTATTTATTTTGTTTATATTTTAAATTATGGAAGTACTACTTAATTTAAAGTACTTAAAATATTTTTACCTGTCTACATAATTTTTATGTGTACTTAACGATTACGATTTCATGTTTTAAATATAAATAAATGTAAGTCATCTGAAATAATTGTTTCATTGCAGATTGTTTACCTTTCAATATCAAATATATTTTTAAAAACCTGCTTGGTACCCTTTAGTTTTCAACTAAATAAAAAGATTTGCAAGAAAAATATAATTTTTATTAAATAGGATTTAATTTAAATCATTGGGTCTAAAACAAACAGTTCTACACTTTTGATAATAAGTTTGATGACCTGTGACAGCGAATCGCTAACCGGTTTTAAACTGTCAATTCAGAGGTCCCGGGTTCAATTTCTGGTAGAAGCAATATCTATTTAGTTAAGGCAATGTATGAAATGTCTGATATTTATGTTAATTTTTGCCTGTTTCGTGACAAAAGTCTAGAAACAAAATCCTTACGCAACGACTATAGCCAACGTTAGTGTTCATACTTCTTGCATGTAATAAACTGTATTGAGGGGGTGCAACCTTATTGAAAGTACACGTTGACAAAGAGGATTTAATATCGAGAAATATACAAAGTTATAAAATTACAAGATCATAGTATAAATTTCATTCTTAAACATTATTTCTGTACACCTTTTTAATATTAAAATACTTATAAGTAGTCAGTCTCTGTTTGAACGCCGCCACCAGGGTACGCCAGTCTCATCTTCTGCACAAATGTCAACAGTAGGTCTGCAATTAAAAAAAATGGCGTTTATAACACCAAATAAGGTGAATCATAGTTTTAATCAACTTACTTCTTTTTCAATAAATGTAACCAGGAACTGGCAGAGATTACATTAAGTAATATTCACCCACAACATATAAGTATTTACTATATTTTCCAGTATAGCATTTTAAATGCAAAATTGATCAACAAAATAATAATTACAACAAATTTCCATCTTTGTCGAAAGTTTAAAATGTTTGTAAAAACATTTCTTTCGGCTGTTTGGGTGGATTGCAGTCCTGTTACGTCCCGGGTAGCTCAATGATTAGAGCAGTCGCCCGAATTGCGAAAGGTCATGGATTCAAATCCCATCTTAGAGTACAATTATAATGCCGATCGATTGGGATTGTGTTCATGAGTAAGTATGCAGGTCATCATTCATTAGTCCTTTTACGTCCCTACTGCAGGGACTCGGGCTTTCCTTGTGGATTGTAGAGGAAACCATGCTGGCTCAATGTCGATTGGAGGGTATTAACAACTGCAAATGTAGCCGCGACCAACGAGTTAACGTACCTTCCGAAGCACGGAGTATCTCTATATAATAATTTTCACCCAGGTCACCCATTCCATGACAGACCCTTACGAAAAACAACGATCGCTGGTTGCGGTGCTTACCTACTACGCTACAGTGTTACTCATTATTTAAAGTTTGTATTTATTAAATTAAGTAAAGTAAAATTAACTAATCGTTTAAAACTCTCATTTAATTATAAAACAAAATTTAAGTAATTGTGCTTATTTTATAACACCGAATTTTCTAAATCAAAGACATTCCTTAAAATATTTCCTCATTAAAGATAATTTCTAAGAATTTATAAATTTAAGTATCTTTAAAAAAAATGTATTACCTAAATGTAAACATGAACCAGAATTACATTGAGAAGTAATTAAAAGGTCAGCCATAAAAAAATTTGGTGAGCCACAAAAATCAGTATTTTAATCGTTTGATCAGCATTTAAAGATTTTGTATGCAAGAAAAATAAAACAATCGGCAATCCTTGTTTCGCAAATAATCTTGATAATGATCAGTAATTTAATCATATACAGTCAGCTTAAAATAATATGTGTATGTCAAATAAACAGTCTATCCCCAAAATAACTACTTGATCAGAAAGATTCAGGATTGGTCAGCAAGAAATATTTGTCCGGTTAGCAGTTCATTTGATCGGTTTGCGTATTTAAAGCATGGTTAGAAGAATAACTAATTGGTTTGCATTTTTATTGAAAAGTCTGCAATGTACGTTAAAAGTGGGCAGAGCAAGAGTAGTTGCATGATACTAGTAGCCAATCGCGTGCGTGTATTGTCATTCGGTGTCTATGCGGCGATTAGTAGCTGTCAAATTATAGTGATAACAACTTGTTTTATTTTAATTAGTGTGAATTTTGATATTTTGCGAGTGTTATATGAGTACTGTAGGTAGCAGCCGGGACCGACGGCTTAACGTGCCCTCCGAAGCACGGAATCATCTTACTTTCGGACAATCAGGTGATTCAGGCCCGCAATGTCCTAACCAAACTGGGAAAAACTCACAAAGAAATATTTGAGAGTGTCCCCACCGGGAATCGAACCCAGTACCTTCGGATCGAGAGCCTAACGCTCTAACCACTAGGACACGGAGGCAGTTAATTTAATTAGTTAGTTTACTCTAAATACCCATTCATTGTTTTTGTAAGGAGTGCGCCCATTTTGCGCCAGTCATTATTGCTATTTTTATATGCTTCACAAAATTAGATTAGTTGCTTCCCTCTAAGTGCTGTTCAAAATTGTATTTAACATGCGTCACTCATTGCAGCTTATATGATTATTATGCTAATAAAAAATAATTACAGCCGTCCAGAATGTAAAAAATTGTCGATTGATTTGATATTGTTTGCTAGCCATGGTCTGCTGACCAATCATATATTTCAACTGACAGAATACATTTTTCTGCTAGCAAAAATGTGAATACTATGCTAACCCGTTAAATAACACCCAATTACATTTAACACATCTCGTAATATTTATAAACAGATGAAAACGTCAACTGGAACTACTTTGCATTGTGCATACAATAGTTTAAAGGAAATGAGAATCTATATTATAGATCTATATATAGGAATTTTTATTATTATGAATTCTCGTTTGTACAAACCTGTAGATTTGAGTATGAGGTAATGTGGCTGTCAACAGAGGGCAAGCTGTGGCTGGTGTGTCCTAAAATAAATGAAAATACATATGTTAATGAAAAATAATCACAGATCAATACAGATTTTTTTTTTTTATAAAAGCATCTCCATTAATTGACTAGTAAAATAAGAGTGTGCATTTTATGAGTCTCATTTTTTTTATTTATAATTGGAAAAAGTGTAATTTTATCCAATAATACATCACTGCTGCATATTTACAAGTGTGAAAGAAGTAATTTAATTCCACAAGACAAAATTTTCACAAAAAAAATATTTTATATAACATATGCTAATTGCTGCCATCTATGTAGTTTAAGGCAATATTTCTTATTGGAACATTAATCCTTATATAGCATGCATCAAATAGTACCTGTATGGGTTGCATCGGTATGTGCATATTAGCTCTCAACTTGCGTTGTCTTATCTCTCTATGAACACAGCATTGCACGCCAAGAAGCACACCACATACACAAGATGATAAACAACCTGTGTATAAAAACAAAGTGTAATTTATCTTTATTTCAAAAATATTGTATTTCTTGTAGCTCCAAATTGTCTTTTATAGATATATTTGAAGCCTGGCACTGGAACATAGACTGTTTTATTTGTGTATAGTATTGAATAAAACTAAGATTATTTGTTTGATGAGTTCCAGTGACCTCAAATCCTGAAGTTCTTTCGCAGCACTCTTTATAAATTCTCACAACCCATTCCAATCACATTTGTGACCCGACTTTTTGGTCACAAGCCAAAATTAAGAAGACTTAATGAACCATTGCATTATGCAGTGGAATAGTGATTTGGTTGCCAACAATAATATCAATATCATATGTACATATTACGAATTTGCATACTATAATTGTTGAGCAAAATTACTATCATGTTTAAATTGCCTTAAATAGAGTTATGATTACCAGCTACTTAAAATAAAAGGAATAAGAAATTAATATGAATATATTCATACAATAATATGAATAAAACATGATTATTTTGAGACTGGATATGACTTATATAATTGTTAAAGTTACAAAATGTACATTCAAGATAGAGAGCTAAATTGTAGTTTGTAAATAGAATATTTATTCAAAGCTTAAATATTAGTTAACCAACTTAAGATGTAATACATACCTATGTAAACTAACACACCAAGATCACCATTACGGTTTGTACGTCTCAAGACAAAACCCGCAATACACAATGAGATTCCAGTCAATATACCTACAACAAATATCACCTGAAATAAAAACCATTGATTTGATTAAAGTATTACTTTAAAGTACTAATTATAAACTTTTTTACAAAAGTTGAACATAACCATTTAATTATACTTCTTCTTGACTGAGAAAATATTACACAAATGCAATAAGAATAACAGTATTCAGTTATAAATTACCTGTAAAATATAATAGCACACATATTCAAATCCTGGACAATGTCCCCCACATGCTCCAATTACAGGAACTTCTGGACTGATGGAGGGCACAGGTGGGATAGGTGACCGACTTGCATTTTGTTGTTCCTCACATATTGGAAGTGAAAATGCAGATGCACACTGTGGAAATGTGTATGCCTCAGAGTTGCTGTTTTGAGAAAATTTTTCACTATTTCTATAATTGCGCCAAGTCCCTGTGCCATAGGGTGTTTGATAGACAAATGATGGTTGAGTATACTCTCTCAATGATCCATTATAAAAATGTGGCACCTAAAAAAATAAAATTAGGATTCATTAAGTCACCTTCATACAGTTATTTGGTACTTAAGACAAAAGTAATATCGATTTTATAAAATTAATGTAATTTTTATGACTACGCACTTGATAAGCTGTATCGGATGTAGAACTGTCTGTGCCTGCTACTTGATACATTGGTGTGTTAACGTCTTCGGCCCAGGGGTACTTAGCCCTTTGATGTGATGCTGACGAGAATTGCTGATCGCTACGAGGTACCACCGTAGTCTGATAAGGGTGGACACTTCGCGGCGACAGCTGTTGCTTAAACATCGCACCGGTAACTGTTATCTGAAAATAAACTTTAATTAATAATACACAGATGTGAGACATGCTCATTGTTGACATAACTATTTTGCTTACACTCACCTCATTTTCCGTATTGTGTTTCTTAAGGCAAAAGCTATCTCTTAGTTATTGTTTCATAGAAACATAAATAAATAGATATGTAAAGTTACAAAAAAATATGAACTAAGTTAAAATATCTTACAACAAGTTAATTTATTTATTACAGCAATTAAGCGAGAGAAAAAAAATATTTTCTTCAGTTCTTTTTCTATGACCAGTATCAGTTTTTTTTGTAAGCATTTCAAAGAGTAAAGTATTCCATAAAAATAAAAAATATCTATGACATTGCTACAAAAACAATGCTAAGCTACAACGATATATCGAATTACTGATTTTCCGATATATACATAACGCCCAAAATATCGATATAGAAGGAACAGAAACATCGACATCAAGTAATACAACATTTCGAAACATATTATGGAATGAAGGCCAAAGAGAAATGTATATCAATCACTATCACCAATTGTCGGCACAATTTTTTTCTTGTACTATACTAAAAAAAATATTTTAAGTTTTATTTAGTAATGGTTTTTACATACTTACAGCCTTACTTAAAAACATTCATTAAAATTAAGACACTGCTAAGCAATTCATTAACAAAACCGTATCTATGTTTTTTGTCACTAATAGTCATGCTGGCAATTATTAAAGAAGCTAATTTGTAAAAAATATAAAGATGCCAATCTTATCGGTGGGGTAGAGTTTGGCAAGCGAAACGTGACACCACCTATTTTTCCGTTTTCATATGGCAACAACATAGAACTGTCAGTTTGACACTACGTTAGACAATTCAAGAATATTGAATTTTGTTGTTTTTGCGAATTTGAACTTGTGTTTTTGTTAAAAATTATGTCGAAGCCGATAAAAAGTTCATCGAGGAAACTTCTTTCCATCATGATTGACAAGTTTACTGAAGTGAAAACTGAATTAAATAAAAATTTCATGGAGAAATTACAACGATTAGATAAAGTTGTATCTTTTTTAGGTTAGTTTTGTATTATAATTTTGATACTTTCGTTTTAATTTTCTGTAATTAACTAAACAGATATTTTTTATAAAATATTGCTCTATTTCAGATAACTGTGATGGTGATATTCAACCAATAATGGAGGAGATAAATGCAATAAAAACTTTAGAAAAACAAGAAATGCTGAATTCGGAAACGCAGTACTTACAAAAAATTTCTTCAATGACAGGTCTCTTTTCTTGTTTTGATTTAAGATAGATTGATAGTATTCCTATAATATTTACATAGGTTTTTTATGATGTATTGGTTTTTATTGTTGACATCCAATGATGTCATAAGAATGTTTTGTTTAACAAGGAAATTCACAGAATTCATGAAACTAATCAAACCATGTAATTGTTATACATGCTAAATATGCACATAAACTTAACTAAATTAAACATAAATTGCATTCATAGTTGAATAGGTATTTAAATTATTTTGATGTATGTGTCTATCATTATTTGCTTTTAAATACATTTAACATATCTTTGTTTCAAAGTGTTTAATCTTTTATAGATGTAAGTATAAGGACACTAAGAAGGATAAAAAATGAAGCATTAATTAATAAAGGAAAATGGGACACTCCTGGGAAAAACGACCTCATCAACCAACAGTGTCTGCTTTAGATAATTTTGATTTAAGTGCAATTCGGAATAAAGTAAATGAATTTTACTGTGTGAAAAAAAATTGTTCCAACATTAAGAAGCCTTCACAATGAATTAAAAGATGCAATAGGATTCAGTGGTAGCCGTGAGACTTTACGAAAAATTATGCTTAAGAATGGATTTTCTTTTAAAAGCAATGAAAATGAACGTTCTATGCTTATAGAAAAATACCAGATTTCTGCATGGAGGCACAAGTATTTGAGAGAAATAAATATAAAACGAAACGAAGGAAAGCAAATTGTGTACCTTGATGAAACTTATGTACATCAGAATTATAAAGTTAAAAAGTCTTGGCAAGGACCTTCAACAACTGGTGTCACTACAAAGATATCCTCTGGAAAACGGCATATTGTTGTGCATGCTGGATCTGAGGAAGGTTTTGTGCCTGGTGCATTATTAGTGTTCAGTAGTAAATCCAAATCTGCTGATTATCATGATGATATGAACTCATCGAACTTTATGAAATGGGTCAGAGAAAAATTAATACCAAATTTAAGTAAGCCAGTGTAATTGTTATGGATAATGCCAGCTACCATATAAAACAAATCAATAAACCGCCTATAATGTCTAATACCAAAGCAGATATCCGTAAATGGCTTGTAAATAATGGAATACATTTTGAGGAATATCAGACAAAGGCAGAGTTAATGTGTTTGGTTAATGATAAGAAAACATTGCCTGTATATGAAGCTGAAGAGATTTTAAAAGAACATAATCATGAACTTTTATTGCTGCCACCGTATCATTGTGACTTAAACCCAATAGAGATGGTTTGGAGTCAAGCAAAAAGAAAAATTGCAAGCAGAAACATTGGAATACCAGGAAAGGAAATGGAAACTTAATAATAGAGTGTTTTAACTTAATTACCCCTAGTGACTGGAAGAAATACACTGATCATGTTTTAATGTCGAAAATGATTACAAATTAAAAGATGGCATTGTTGAAAACGAACTTGAAAAATTTATTATATCTGTTGGTGCAGACAGTAGTGAAGAGAGTGACTCTGATGATTCCTTGTCATTGTTATCAGGTGTAGAATATTAGAAACAGATTTTGACTATGAATCAGACTAAAGTATTTTTAGTCTGATTCATAGTCAAAATCTTATCTTAAATTTTCTATTGTGATTAACATGATGATTTTGTGACACCTGTATTATGTAATTTATCCATGGCACTTAATTGTAACAAAAATAAATGTTTTTTTATTGTAATCTGGTGTTTATATTGACTAATTTAATTTGATAGATAGTGGTTCTGGATCAGAGCAAAAGGTTGTGATGAAAATCCCTTAGGAGACATGTATGTGTTATGAACACATTATAAATATAAGGGCCAGAAATCAAAATTGGCTAACATCACATTTATTAAAAAAATGTGGCCAGAGTCGCCCATATTCATTACAAAAAAACAAAGAAGTCGTTGCAAAAAACACCCTTTTAATTAATGACAAATATGAATTTTTAATATTATAAGTGCTGTTAGCCAATAGGTATAACGAATGGGTTAAAAAAAAGATTCGATTAGTCCGTCAGTCAGATAATAGAAAAATATTGGATACGTATTTTTTTTCGCTTTAATTTAACAACAAATGGCTTAAGAGGTACTATGCGACGACTTCAATATGCTTTGCAACAATGTTACTTTAATACAGTTTATCGATACGAAATCAAGTGTCAAAATGGAGTCCAGTGGAGAATGCCGATATTGACATTTCGAAATTGCTCATCATTGATAGAGAATACGAAATAGTGATTTTGACACAATCAAAGTGTCTATTTTTTACGGTGATGACGATTCTTGGTTGTCAGTTGAGTTAGTGAATAGGCCTACTGATATGCTGTTAACTGTACAATTAAGAACAGTCACGCTTTAGTCAAATGTTCCAAAACAAATAATTTTAATTGATATCTAAATGTTAAGATTAAATATAATTAATAAAAGTATCAAAATTATTTTGCAGTACTACATTCAGTGTTTACTGCTTAAGAATTTTTGAAATTGCCGCCCTTTTCTTGTGACACGTTTCGCTTGCCAGACTCTAGTTGGCGGTAACTGCGGCGACGCCTTTTACTCTTTGGGCGACGCTATTGACTAATAGGGTATTTAACGCTTTTCTGAAAATTATTTTAAATGGTTCTTTGATAAATTATAAACACAACAACATATTTCATGAGAATCTATTCTATTTTTGATGAAAATAATTGTTACAGTTTAAATAGCCAAAATCGCGCAAAAAACGCTACTCAATGTAATGGCGCTGATCACGTGGTATTTGTGATATCACATGCCGGTAAAAATGTCAAGACGACATAACCTATTTATCAACTATTTATTTACGAAGTAAACAAATAGTATTACAGAAGAGAAATTGAGGTTAAATTATATGTTTTGTATTTGTATCTACTCTGGTTTTGTTTATAAAAGGAGCTACAAATTGTATGTATCAATACAAAATTTGCGTATCTCTAATAACTCTGTTTTGACATGATAGTTTCCGGTTTATGTGAGACGTCACATGCCGGTAAACAGAACCTGTTATTGGTTGCGACGATAACCAATTACAGGGCGTTTTCGTCGTTCATTGAAATTCTTTAAAATGTTGCATTTTCTTTATGTTATTTTACTGAAGCTGTACATATGTTATCTGCTGATTCTAAGAAATAAACTTTATCAGATTATTTTTTAATCGGATGACCATTCTTCTTCTTTTTTAATTCATGGCCTATTTGCATTTACACAATGCCGCCAATGTCACGTTTGTGGTCTTTACACGTATAGAAACAATAATAAAATATGTAAATTTTAAATTTAAATAAAATAAAAAAAATAGTTCTGAGCGCGTCTATCTAATTACATTGTTATTAAAGATAATACAAAAAGAATGTATATAGAAAACAAAGATATTTATAAATTAAGACTATTATTGATTGCAAGGAATTTAGATAAAATTTTGAATGGGCTGGGTTTCTCCATAGGGCGCTTGTGCACTACACTGAATTTTCATGTCCGGCGGTCCGATTTTTTCAGGTCCGATATGTCAGGCCATATATAGGTAATGCTAGCCTGTGCACTGTCAGGAATTTTACCGTCCAGGATTTTACTTTTCTCTATTCCGGACCGGTTTTTTCAGGTCCGTGATGGCGGCAATGAAAAACGTGTTTACGCTTGTGCACTGCTATGTCCGCGATCCTGAAAATTCATAAGGAATAGGCTTGGGAAAAAATAATCGATTTGTGTATAATCGATTTCGGCGATATTGTTAATTTCCAATAAACTTATAATCGATATTTATTGTAGATTATAAAATGCTATATTTTATATGATGATTTAATATAGTTGGTAAATATCACTGCATATGCTTTGGCAAACTCGGTATAGTTTGAATTTA